TTAACAGGAGAGTTGGTGGGTACCTTACATCTGGGTTCTTTGCGGACTAGGGGTTCTCTTCTCTTGGACTGGGGTTAAGGATGGTTGGTGTTCACATTCAAATTTCTGTTTTACTCATACTCTATGACTGTGTTGGCAGTAATAGTTTACTAAATAAATAGTAAACTATTTATTACCACTTTCAGTTTCATTTTGGAACTAGAAAAATTAATATGAAGTCATATGAAGATGAATCTAGATGACCTGGCAACACATTTTACCAAGGACTTTTACAAAGTAGACGTGACTGTTAAATAAAGGCTCACATAAATCCAGACTCGCTGTCATATTTTAACTACCTGCTTGATTTTCAGAAGAATTTAAGATTTTGATTCCAGGTATACTGACTTTGTACTGAAAAGATGCTGTTCATTCAACAGTTGATCATTTGACTTTTCCCTGAAGCTCAGCATAAGATGGGAAACCTTCCTTGGGTGATAAATTTGCAAAGCTTTGACCAAAGCTTTTAATTATTGAAGATGTGCTCATAATCACAAAAAAGTAGTAAGATTCAGAGATAGTACAGTAAGTAGGGCATTTGCCTTGCATGCTGCTGACCTGGGTTTTATCCCCAGCACCCCAAATGGTCCCCTGAGCACAGACAGGAGTAATTCCTGAGTGCAGAGCCAGGAATAATCTCCGAGCATTGCTGGGTATGAACCCCCTCCCAAAAATGGTAAGATCCATAATGGCTAACAACAGGAGATAGATTAAATTATGGTACAGATATATAATGTTCTGCAGTCATTTAAATATGCTGATGTCAAAGAATTCTAGCAACATGCAAAGTATTTATGACTCTAAGAGTGGGGGAGGAAATGATCTCCAGACACAGTAGCTGTCTCCTTGTAAGTGCCTGCTAAGGAATGCATACCACAGAGCACTAGCATTCACCATGATTTTTGGTATGGTGGATGTGGATTTTACTTTCCTAAAATAAAATAATATTTTATTTTATTTATTTATTTTTCGCTTTTTGGGTCACCTGGCGATGCACAGGGGTTACTCCTGGCCCTGCATTCAGGAGTTCCTCCTGGTGGTGCTCAGGGGACCATATGGGATGCTCAGAATCGAACCTGGGTCAACCGCGTGCAAGGCAAACACCCTACATGCTGTGCTATCTCTCCAGCCCCTAAAATAATATTTTAAGTCACAATTTTGATTGCTTAATTATCAATAGAACAGCTTACAAAGGTTATGAAGAGAAGCGTAGAGATACCTCTGAGTGTCCATCTCGATGCAGGTACAGGATCCAAGGCAAGGAATCAATATATGAACCACCTTCCTAGGGTCCAGGTCTCTATCTTGTCCTGATCCATGCAAACTGAAGCATGTTCCTTGCTGCTGATATATGGACAAGGTCTATACTATCCACCTGAACAGTTGCTTTGTAAAAGTATGTAACCTCACTAAAATGTCCCCTCTCCTGGCATATTTCTGTTAAGAGACAGGAGAAAGCACTTAAAAATTGTATTTTATCTGCATGTTGCTTGGAAGACCACTCCCTACCAATTGTAGATGAAATTTAGATTGATTTTTTCTGAATATTTCAGTATTATAGATTTTTTTAAATGAAAAAACATTATTGGAGTCTCAACTTCCTGTGTGCTCATCGTGCTGGTTTGAGAGCTCTGGAGTAACTATGGAAATAATAACACGTCCCACCCATGGGATTGAGGACCACTTCTGAGGCCCCAAGAACAAACATGTTGTCTTTTTCTGTTTTGTTCTCTTGGGCTTGGAAACCCTGACTTTCTGAATAGCCTGTTTTCCAAGGCAAGACATTGACGAATGAATGATCATAAAACAATAAATAATTCTCAGCTACTTGAGACATTTCAGAACAAGCAGGCTAAATTTTGAGAGGTGAATTTAAATGACATTTAGAATTCTTATTTTTTTTCTTTTTTGCCTTTTGGGTCACCCCTGGCAATGCAGAGGTTACTCCTGGCTCTGCTATCAGGAATTACTCCTGGTGGTGGTTGGGAACTGTAAAAAAATAATGCATGCTGAAGGGTGTGTGTCCGCGGGCTCTCCGGGCAGCTCTATCTCACCGCCTGCCTTAGGTGCTCTATAGCCACTGTGCGTGGACTGGATTGGGATGGCTTTTCGCCAAGGGCAGGTGAAGGAAGGAATGAGAGCTAGGCTGGTTGATCTCAATAGCTGTTTATTCCAGTTTCATCCCCATTCACTCCTGTCTCTCTCTCTCTCTCCTTTTGTCTCGTTCCCTCCCTACCCCCAATCCGGAACCCCTAGCCCACTCTTTTTAAAAAATTTTTATTTATTTATTTATTTATTTATTTATTTATTTATTTATTTCATTGCATAAAAAAATTTTTATTTATTTATTTATTTATTTATTTATTTATTTATTTATTTATTTCATTGCAGCCCTCTTTACAATAGCCAGAAACTGGAAGAAACCTGAATGCCCAAGAACAGATGACTGGTTAAAGAAACTTTGGTACATCTACACAATGGAGTACTATGTAGCTCTTAGAAAAGATGAAGTCATGAAATTTACATACAAGTGGTACAATATGGAAAGTATCATGCTAAGCGAAATGAGTCAGAAAGAGAGGGATAGACATAGAAAGATTGCATTCATCTGGGGGATATAAAGTAACAAAGTATGAGATTAATACCCAAGAATAGCTGAGATCAGCACCAGGAGGATTACTCCATAACTTAGAGGCCAGCCGGGTATCCTAGAGGAAAGGGCTATTCAGATAGAGAAGGGAGCACCAAATAAAGGATGTTTGGAGGATCCTCCCAGGAGGGGAGATGCATGTCGAAAGTAGACTATGGACTGAACATGTTTGCCACTCAATGCCTCTTTTGCAGACCACAACACCCAAAAGGAGAGAGAGAACACAGGGGATTGCCCTGCCACAGAGACGGGGGGATGGGGGGATGGGGGTGGGAGGGATATTATCCATGGTGGTGGAAAATGGGCACTGGTGGAGGGATGGGTATCTGATCATTGTATAATTGAAACCAAAGCACAAAAAATTGTAAATCTACAACTTTAAAAAAATAAAATAAAATAAAGGGGGAAAAAAAAAAAAAAGAAAAAAAAAAAAAAAAAAAAAAAAAATTTTTATTTATTTATTTATTTATTTATTTATTTATTTATTATTTGCTCGAGCGGGCCCAGTAACATCTCCATTGGAGACTTTGTTGTTACTGTGTCTGGCATATCGAATACTCTCGGTAGCTTGCCGGGCTCTCCGATAAATAGCACAGCAGGTAGGGCTATTTATCGGAGGGCCCTTGCACACAGCCAACATGGCCGACCCGAGTTCAATTCCTCCGCCCCTCTCGGAGAGCCCGGCAAGCTACCGAGAGTATTCGATATGCCAGACACAGTAACAACAAAGTCTCCAATGGAGACGTTACTGGGCCCGCTCGAGCAAATCGACGATCAACGGGAGGGCCTTTACCTTTACCTTTTTATTTATTATTATTGAAATACCATGAGGTACAGTTATAGACTTACAAATTTTTGTGCTTGGGTTTCAGTTATACAATGATCAAGTACTCATTCCTCCACCAGTGCCCATCCTCCACCACCACGGGTCCCAGCATCCCTCCCACCCCCGTCCCCCCATCCCACCCTGCCTCTCCCCCCGCACCCCTGCACATAAAGCAGGCTTCCAACCATAGAACAATTCCCCTGACCCTTGTCTCTACTGTCCTTGTGTGTTAGTCTCACACTATGTTATTGTATATTCCACAATTGAGTGCAGTCATTCTATGTCTGTCCCTCTCTTTCTGACTCATTTCACTTAGCATGATACTCTCCATGCCCATCCACTTATAAGCAAATTTCATGACTTTATCTTTCCTGCATAGTAGTCCATTGTGTAAATGTACCATAGTTTCTTTAACCATTCGCCTGTTGCTTTGAGGCCTGAAAGTCTCCATTCTTCTGCTGGGTCCCTGTCTAAGAACACCCCCATCATGTTATCTCTCATGTGCAGCACAAAATCTCTGTGTTCCTGTGGCACTTAGGGAAGACTGCTGCTCATCAGTGCCCGGGGAAGACTGGTGGGCTCTGCCGGGCAGCACAGTGCAGGGGGTTATGACTGCAGGTTCCCGAGGGTACAGGACAGGTGGGGACCACAGAGGCCTGCATCAGACCCCCAGCTCTAGATGGAGGCAGAGGAAGGCAGTCACGGAGCAGGATGGCTATGCATGCTCATGTACTCCCAGTTTCTTTTCCCATTCCCATAACCGTCACACCTTGCATATGAGCTGCTCCTTAGTCTGGGTCCTGGAAATGAAGACACTATGCAATGCATTCAAAACTGAACCTCTTGAAACATTTAATGTAAGTGAAAAATAAACTTGCAAGACACCAAGGTTTTGAGGTTATCACTGATGCAGTCATCTAGCATGATTCTCCAAGAACAAGAAATATAAAATCTGGTTTGCAAGAACACCTGGCTGGTCTCTGCAGTACTTCCTCAGGATAGACAATGAGTGGGTCATTGATGACTGGCCCTTCCCCATAAGAGATTCAAGTGTAGGGCATACGGAGTCAGCTGAGATAAATGGAGCGTGACATGTTTTTAAATGGGATGTTTTTAACCAAGTGGTTCTGAATACTTAAGAGATTCAGGCTAAGTGGGTGTGGTTGAGTCATAGCCATCACTGTTGTAAGTCATCATTTGTAACCTGTATTCTGGTTCAATTTTCTGAAATGCTAAGGTCAGAAAACATTTTTAAGACTGAAAACATTTTGTCACTCATTTTGGCACTTTGTATAGTTCTTAGTGGGGCAAGGGTTGGGGAGTGGAGGAAGAAGATGCAGTAGGTGTCTTTTACTTCTGTTTTTCTTCTTTCTGATTAAAGCTGATTTGATGATGAAATAACATATAGAGAGTTGCTTTTATTCTCTTCAGAAATCAGAAAATTAAGAATTTGTACTTAAGGGTTCCATTAAGAAGTGACAAAATTCAAAATACACTTGGAATCCAAGTGCAGTTCAGTGTTGATGGATTCAACAAAGTGCAGCACCCTTTCAGGGAATGCAGACTGTGGTTTCCTCCAAGGATGAGTTCACCGGGACCCTTGATAACAGTGCTGGTGGAAAGCAGAGTGCAATGGTTAGTTGGGTGTTGGAAGACTAAACAATAGATAGCTTGAAGCTGGCTTCCTCCCTCCCATTCTGGTTAGAGTGAGGTAAGGACAGAGACAATAAGGACTTGTTTTTATTCTCAAATCTTCCATTATTTCCTTCAGAGTAAACAAACAAAAGGTAGACTCAATCCTTGGGTATCCTGAGGACGACTTGCATGGTTTGCTGAAGCGTCCCTACCCACGGTACCCTTTAGCCATCAGTAGGTTGTCAGGACAGCCTGCATTGCTCAGTCCCCTCGAAAGGGAGGCAGCTCCTAATCACCAGTAAAAACGTACCAGTGAAAGGCATGGGGGCCTCAGTGGGTGGAAAGGTCTCAAGTTTGTATCTTAGCTGTGCAGTTTTGCTTGGGTGACAATTTCTCTGTCAATTTTATCAAATGACAGAAAAGTGGATAACTTATTCAGTTGATGTTGTAATTTTTAATAATGTATACAAAGTACTTGCATGCAGAGCTGAAGGGATAGTAAATGCTTAGTGCAGCATTAGCTAATTATGGAGTTGCTAGTCATAGCTGAGAAACGCCAATATAAAAGGTGGTTTGAATGGCTGCATAAATTCTTATTTTATTTATTTATTTTGTTTTTTGTTTTATGGGTCACAGCAGGCAATGCTCAGGGACTACTCCTGGCTCTGCACTCAGGAATCATTCCGGGGACAACATGAGATGCCAGAGAGCAAACCCAGGTAGACCATGTGCCAGGTGACCACACCTTTTCTACTGTACTATCTGTCTGGGCCCTTTCGTTTCTATTTTAAATTAACAATTATAAAGTCTCAAAATAAGGGCATAGGAACTGGAGCGCTAGTACAGCAGGGAGGGCGTTTGCCTTCCATGCGGCCAACCTGGGTTCAATCCCCTGAATTCCACATGGTTCCCTGAGCTCCACCAGGAGTAATTCCTGAGTGCAGAGCCAGAAGTAACCCCTGAGCATCTCTGGGTGTGATCCAAAAAGAAAAAAAATTAGGGCATGAGTCTAATTTCTTTATTAACAGCAAGTATGTAAAAGTTATAATTGAGAACACAGTACCTGCTCATAAGACTTTGGCAACATGACACCACACTGCTTGCGTTTCTAGATAAACTGGAGTTGAAAGCACTTTCTAAAATGTGTTGGCAGTTGGTGTCTACGGGAGTGCTGGAGAGCATGCCTGGAAAAGGAATGGGTGCAGTTAATGTCCCTAATGACAGAAACCTTGGTCTTCACTGTTCTTCACGTCTATATCATGCTACACACATTTTATTCAACAATGTCCCACAGCAGCTCTGCTGCTTAGCTTTCCGTGGAAGCATATGTTGCCCGTGCAAGTGGGGGCTCTGACTTCTGAGGGTCCCAACTCCCTGTGGCACGGGGGTCCTAGGGGCTCACAGTACCTGCAATGCAGGCTGTCATGAAGCAGGCAATGGTGCCAGCGATCAGAGCTCGCACTGCTCCCGAGGCGATGTCACACTTCCTGGAAGGAGCCATAGATGCTGGGAAACAGGCAAGCAAACATGAGACATCAATATTGAGGCTGTTGATTAGAATAGACTGAAGTTCTAGTTTCTGAGAATTGCTCTAGGACAGAAGTCTCAGATCAGAGAATTTAAAAGCAACAAGAAAAACCAAATAGCTTGATCATTCAAGATTCAGAGGTTTCCATTCTCTACAGGAGAAATTACTCTTAAGTTTCATCTAAAAGGACCGATAGTATGTTACAGACCTGGCAAAGCGAATGGAAGGAAGGATTTTTGCAAGGTAAGATCCCAAATATTTGCAAGTCATTTGTTACTTTCAATTTTTATTCCATGGGGGACCTCACTAATGAGTCACAGCACATTGCCACTGGACTTCTGTCTCATTATCTGGTGGTCATTATAAATCTATTAGAGGTGTCAGGCAAAGAAAAATAAGTGTGTTATCTTTGTGTTATAATCTAAAATTATTTTTGCAGTTACAGTGAAATACACAGGAAAACTGTATTTCAGAGCACAGATCAAAAATAGCAAAGTATTTACTATTGTTTCAGGCTCTTTTACCACTGCAACATGGATAACAGAGAAAGCTATAGAGATGGAGACCTAAAGCAAGTGTACATCACATTTGTTGTCAAAGAGTAGTCTTCCACTTACAGAGTCCGCCGATCATTATTCCTAAGGAGCCAAAATTGGCAAAGCCACAGAGGGCGTATGTGGCGATTGTCTCAGAACGAATCTGTAAATAAGCATAAAAACACAGATGTATCCATAGTGTGACTTCTCTTAGCAAATATTACTTCCTAACAGGGCTTACTGTACTGATTACGGCATCAATTTAATTTTTGTGTGTGTGCGGGAGAGGGGTCGTTGTGGGGGAGCAGTTCTAGCAGTGTAAGGCCCTAGGGTGCTCAGGGGGACCAGGGCTATACCTGGAAGTGCAGGGTGGGGAGAGAGCAAGGAAGTGCTGGAGACTGAACCCAGGTCCTCACTGTTTAGGGGTCACACTCTACCACTTAAGCCACATCCCTGACTAAGAATCAATTGAGAAATCAATTTGAGAAATAAATGTAAAGTACATGGAAGCAAATGCCCATTGTATCTGAGACTTTCCCTTCCATTTCTCCCCTTGAATTGAGTAAAGGAAGAGACTGTGTGGATTTAAAGACTCTCTACAAGTACTTAGAACAGACAACCTGGGCTTATGCAATACTACTTTCAGCTCAGCGATAACTTCTGCACTTGATTGTAGCCAAAAGGCTGAGAAGTGATCAATAACTTCTAATAGCCAACATGACCTGGCGTCTGCTATACTGTATCAGGAATACACAATCTCCTAGGCATGCAACATTGGTCCCAGATAATAATCACGCTCTATTTATGTGACAAAGAACCTGTTCAGAATGAATAAAGAATTGTTATGATTCAATGATAAGACAATTGCACAATGAAACACTGGTAGAAATTCGGACACTTCAAAAAGACAAACAAATGGCCAAAAAGCACAGGAGGAGGGCATTATTCGCCAAGAAGAGGCTGATGAAAATAGTGAGCTTCCAGTGAGTATATAAAATGACTTTAAAAAGATGGGTAATGTTAAGTTTACAAAGATGTAGAACAACTCAAACTCCTGTACTTTATTTTATATAAACTCATATAACCAGATACAAACATTAGTTTCTTATTGAGCCCACATACTGCCCATATGTCCCAAGAACCCGTCTCTAGAACTTTTTCTAGGAGAAATAAAAACTATGCCGATACTGGGGCTGGAGCAATAGTACAGCAGGTAGGGCGTTTGCCTTGCACGCGGCCAACCCAGGTTCGATTCCCAGCATCCCATATGGTCCCCTGAGCACCGCCAGGAGTAATTCCTGAGTGCAGAGCCAGGAGTAACCCCTGTGCATAGCCAGGTGTGACCCAAAAAGCCAAAAAAAAAAACTATACTGATACTAAGATTGAATATAAATACTATAGAAATTTCATTTATAATAAACCGAAGCTAGAAATAACCAAGCTGTTCTTAAACAGGCAGATAGATATCCATTAAATAGAATACTATTCAACAATAAAAAAGAAATAGTTAATAATACAATGACATGAATGCTAAGTGGAGTTCATTTATATGAAAATTTAGAACAATACATTGTAAACTACAAAGATTATTGGTTGCCTTGCAATGAGTGGGTTGTGGGTTACTTTATAGATGTGATGGAAATAATTGTTCTCTTTTCCCTTAAATTGGTCAGCAAATATTTATTGAATGCTTCTTAAGAATAAAGAACTATACAAAGTAGTGGTTTACGCACGTATTTAATAGTATGATAATTTCCATGATATATTATTTAAAAATGAAGTCATATGCATTTATTTACCCAACACATAGGTTAAATATATCTTCAAAAGGGTTATCTACTAAGTGTCAGATACTAGGGAATATAATGAAAAGCCGAACTAATTTCTGACTGCCAACTTGATTGTAGCCATGGTTAAACAGGAAGCACACTAGTCAAAACTCTTATGTAAATAAAAGGGACCCTTTTAAGAAATGTGAATTATTCTTCGGTAAAAGGCAGCAATGAAAAAGGAATACAAAGTGAAAGAAAGCTAACACAGGCGTCCCTTTCAACCTGACCTTGGTGAATGCTTGCTTCCCTGGATTCTTCAGCTCTGACTGTCCATGGGAACTTCAGGCGCATGTTTGAAAAAGGCAGGATGAATAGTCCTTTGAGAGGCCAGTAAGAAGATGGAAGGGGGGTTTATCCCACGGTTCGCTCGGCGCATCATTGGGGTCTCCACAGAGGAGCCTCAGACCGAGGGACCGCTACAGAGGAGGCTCAGCTGACTCAGACTCAGAGGGGCTTTGTTGTTCACCAGAAGCAGAATCAATCTGGCAAAGCATCCAAACAACTGAGGCAGTACTTTCCTTTTACAAAATCTTAAAAAAAGGAATTAAGAAAAGCAGGGAGGAAAAAAAGAGAAAATTTTTGGTTCATAGACTAAACTAGGCAAGCACTGCATTCCAAAGTGGTGATGCTTTTTTTTTTTCTTTTGCTAAACTAACATTCAAGACTCAAGAGCTCCTGGCTGCTTTTTCATTTGCTGATTATAAGATACCGGCCCCACTCCCCACCTCTCTTTCTCTTTTTTTTGGTTTCCAAGAATGCCTTTGTTGATAATTTCAATCAGCCTGAGTTTACTAGGCAAGAAAAATATATTTCAGGTATTTGAGCAGTGCACTCTTCCTGGAAAAAAAAAAACTCATGCTCATTCTCTACCTTCCTAGTGCTTTTCACTTGCTCATCTGACTTAAACAAGAGACAAAGTTATTAAGAGACCATGAGGAAGGACAGCACAAACATTCAAGATTCTTCCTTTGCCGTTCTGGAGATCCATGCAAAAGGGACACACAGATGTGGCCGAGCAGGACTTTATAATAAGTGGAAAAGGAGGCCTGGATTCCACTTGACTTTTGTCCATCTAACTGTGCAAGAGTTTATGGAAAGAACTGGACCACTTTAGAAAACGGATCATACGTCACACAATTCTCCTTGCAGATGGACAAAGATACTATTTGTATAAAGAAAGTCACTGTGGTACTTATTTATTTTTTCCTTCTTGGGATTGCTCCCAGCACAGCATTTGGAGGGTTGTTCTCGGCGTTGCTTAGAGTACCATGTGGTGCTAGTGACTGACCTCAGGCTAGGTTTGTGCAGAGAGCACGTATTCCAGCCCTCAGAGTCCAGGCCTGTAGGAATCATTTAAAAAAAAAAAATGGAACCAGGGGCTGGAGCTAGCACAGCGGGTAGGGCGTTTGCCTTGCACGCAGCCAACATGGCCAACACAGGTTCGATTCCCAGCATCCCATATGGTCCCCCAAGCACCGCCAGGAGTGATTCCTGAGTGCATGAGCCAGGAGTAACCCCTGAGCATCGCCGGGTGTGACCCAAAAAGCAAAAAAAAAAAAAAAAAAACAAAACAAACAAAAAAAACGGAACCAAAGCTTCTCAACAAGGTACAGATTAAAATATCAGTAAATTATGATGTGCTTATATAAAGGAATACATTGCAACAGATATTGTTTCTGGCGACAAAATGCACTGCTGGCTACCTGTACTTTCTGACCTTTTATCTCTGGTGGTGGCCAACGATATGTTTAATTCAATTGGATTTAATTGAATTAATTAATTCTTTGGATTTTTGGCCTCATGAATCCAGGTACTATTCCTTTTCTTTTTTTCATTTTGGTTTTGGGGCCACATGCGGCATTGTTCAGGGCTTACTCCTGGCTCTGTACTCAGGGATAACTCCTGGAGGGGAACCATATGGGATGCCAGGAATTGAACCCCTGTTGACTGTATGCAAGGCAAGGGCTGTACTGCTGTACTCTTTCCCTTCTGGTCTTATTTTTTCAGTAGATTTTGGGATATTTAAGGACCCCCCTTCCCAGATTTTTTACTAAATTTAAACAAAAATTATAGGACCTTACATTTTGTTGTTACTGTTTGGAAATAAGAAATAAGCACTAACCAAATGTTTTTCCTGTCATAATTTAATAGTAGTAGGAGCCAAGGAGCTCATATTTCCAAATGTCATTTGTGTACCTGTTTCTGGTTGTACTCACCACCCACCCACAAGCCAAATCAACTCTCCTGTTCTCTCTCTACTCTCTTTATAACCTGTTAAAAAACCTGCTCAGTACTGCCAGAACTCTGAGTTTTCCATGCTTATTAACAACACTATTTTTTCTTGGCAACTGGCAGTTGGAAATGGAAAATATTTCAGTTAATTTAGCTGCCATTTACTTTTGGCAGGGATGCAAGCTAGTTTGTGGTGAAATCCAAATAAAGGGGATGTTTGGCCAAGTACCACTGCACGATCAGTTGAAGAATGAATACTTGAGAAGCAGGAAAGCTGGAGAACTAATGTTCAGATCAGATGTATGGGTCAGAATGACCGTGACTATACAATGTGAATCAGCAGTCTCCCGGAGTAAGCTGTTATATTTGTGAGTGCTATGTGGGAGTAAATTAGAATGCCCTTGGAAAGTTGGATTAATGAAGGTGGTATCCAGGGGAGGGCAGCCTGAATTAGAAATCTGGGGACTTTTCTTTTCCTCCCCCTTCATTTAAAGTCAAATATGTGCCTATGACATTTCTTCCTGTGACATTGCTTTGTTAGAATGAATAATGGTGGTGGTCAGAAATGTTCACTGTTTTCCTGAGAGTTTCCATATGTGGAAATTATGCTCTATAGGAAAATAAGTTGGAGACTCAGCTGCCAATCTGGCAATTTACGACCTTACCTAATTTCTCTTATCCCATCCAAGGTAAGCATGTCATTGCAGGACCATTAGTACCCGAACTCCTAACATAGTTATCAAGTGCCTATTTCAAAGGCACTTACTAAGTCTTTCATTCTCTTCTTTCACTCATTTAGAGAACAGTTATTTTGTTCTTACTATTTTCTAAGTGTTCAGACACTACATTTAGGAACTTTCTTATTTAGGCATATAAGTCCTTAGAATACTTAAGGAGTGAGACAGGTGATCATTAATTAAGTGACGTGCCCCATAAAGGTAGCAGTCTCAATGATGGTTCAGTGCTATGCCCTCAGAAACACCACATTTCTCACAGAAGACAGTAAATATTTTTACTGTTCTATTCCAGCCCTAGTCCATATGTCCTTGAGTTTGTGCCCACTGTGGTCAAAAGTAAGTAATCATATGATAAGTTTAGCTTTGTTTCTTTACACACACACACACACACACACACACACACACACTGATTAAAGGTAAAGGTAAAGGTAAAGGCCCTCCCGTTGATCGTCGATTTGCTCGAGCGGGCCCAGTAACGTTTCCATTGGAGACTTTGTTGTTACTGTGTCTGGCATATCGAATACTCTCGGTAGCTTGCTGGGCTCTCCGAGAGGGGCGGAGGAATCGAACTCGGGTCGACCACGTTGGCCGTTTGTAAGGCGAACGCCCTACCCGCTGTGCTATCACTCCAGCCCATACACTGATTAATTCAGCATAAATTAAAATGAGAAGGTGTTATGTACAAGAGGTAAGGGATTCTGGATCTTTTTGTTCTCTGATATGAAATTCATGTTTCCTAACACACAGAGGCACCAATAACTTGAGAATGTATGTGATGAAGATACGTTTTGACTAATCAAAATTTTTACTTACCGACATATATTGCTGCACGCCATTCACAAATTTGGGTCCAGCCTCTTTTCTTAAATTGATCAGTTTTGAGAGCTGCTCATATGCCACAAATTCATTGAAGAATGTCTTATAGCCTATGAGTTTAGCGACCATAAAGCTGTCATGCCAGTCGACTCCCATCATGAATGAAAAGGGCATAAAAATGTAGGAGCATATTATCTACAAAAAAAAAAAGCTTTTTACTGGATTAGTGATTTTCTTTCTTGATGAACAATCCTGGTGAGATTGCCCCTGGCCCTTCTGAGTTTTCCTAAGGTAGAGAAAGTCTGTCTTGTCCCATTCTTTATTCATTAGGAGTCAAGTTTGAAACTTTGTCATTAGAAGTAACTTGGATTCTTGGGGTTAGGAGAGAATAATGGCATTTTTGGGTAAAGAGAACTACAGGAGTTAGAGGTGTGGTGGGAAGGGAGTGGGAGAAGATAGAGGGTCACACTAGTATGATGTGCAAACTGACACAGGAAAGATTGCTCAGGAATCGGTTTAACTGTCAGGAAGAGGCTATCTGAACAAAATGTAGGAGAAATAGAATAAATTATACCTCAAAGCTCAGTTGTGGGTAGTCAAACATGTTTCCAAACCAGGAAAGAGCTGAGTTCACAAATGATAACAGGGCCAGGAAGGCTATCAGATTCACAGCGATGTTTGCCACCAAGGAGATGGAGGAGGATGCACCTTGGGAAGCTGCTTCAAGAATATTCCTAGAGTCACTACAGAAAATAGTAATGACAGAGTTATCAAGGAGATTTTAGGGAGCTGAACATCACAAATATAGAGAAAACATAATCAGAGTTCATTCAAGAGAGAGGCCCATTTCTTGGTCAAGATAATCACCTGAATTCATGAAACAATGGGATGTATGCTTGTTAACTATAGGTGGCAGACATATGGGTGTCTAAGTTTTGAACTTTTCTTAATTTAGGAGCATTTTTAATGAAAGCATTTTTTGTTTCAGTAATAAAAATGTTGAGAAGGATTAAAAGTTAAGGTTTGAAAGTTATATTAAAAATAGCTACCAGAAAATATTTATAAAATACTTGTAGCATGAAGATTATTCAGGTAAAGTCAGAATATACATCGCCTCATTTGAGAAATGGAATTCCACCATCACCTTTGCATCCCCTCCCTTCCTCCTGCTGTCCCTTCAGGTGTTATTTCTTAGTTGTATACTATTAACTTCATTTTCCTGAGCACCCACTTCCTGGCTGGAGTGATAGCACACCAGGTAGGGCGTTTGCCTTGCATGTGGCCGACCTAGGCTTGATTTCTCCGCCCCTCTCAGGGAGCCCGGCAAGCTATCGAGAGTATCCCCTCCGCATGGCAGAGCCTGGCAAGCTCCCCATGGCATATTCTATATGCCAAAATCAGTAACAAGAAGTCTCACAATGGAGATGTTACTGGTGCCTGCTCGAGCAAATCAGTGAACAATGAAAGGACAGTGCTACAGTGCTACCCAACTTCCTAGATGTAGTTTATCATCATCCCTTTTATTTTCAATTTTTATTCATATATGTATCCTTTGCTCGAGCGGGCCCAGTAACGTCTCCATTGGAGACTTTGTTGTTACTGTGTCTGGCATATCGAATACGTCACGGGGAGCTTGCCAGGCTCTGCTGTGCGGGCGAGACACTTTCGGTAGCTTGCCGGGCTCTCGGAGAGGGGCGGAGGAATCGAACTCAGGTCGGCCATGTTGGCTGCATGCAAGGCAAACGCCCTACCGCTGTGCTATCGCTCCAGCCCAGAATAAGTACAACAATAGACACAGAAAATGGAACAATAGCTTTCAGAGGTGGTTATGAGGGCATAAATGGGTATTAAAATATTTTGGAGTGATGCAATAAGCTATGACTAAAATGAGAATTTTATTTTATTTTATTTTTTTGCTTTTTGGGTCACACCCGGAGATGCACAGAGGTTACTTCTGGCTCTGCCCTCAGGAGTTACTCCTGGTGGTGCTCAGGGGACCCTATGGGATGCTGGGAATCGAACCCGGGTCAGCTGCGTGCAAGGCAAACGCCCTACCCGCTGTGCTCTCTCTCCAGTCCCTAAAATGAGAATTTTAAAGATATGAATCATACATTATCAAGCTGTTAGAAATTCCAATGAAAAGACCAAAAACCTTTTGTACCGTGTAGCTCCATCTCTGAAACACGGACAAAAGTGCATTTATAACTACTGGACTAAGTTATTTAATTTTCCCTGGGTAATAGCATTTTGGATGACAGTCTCCTTATACTTTGCTTATTATATTATTTTTAAAAATACTTAGCAGGTGCTGCTTTCCCTAGTAAAGCAAAAGCACTATGTTGTTTTATGAGGGGGGCCATCGAGGACCATAATTCAACACCAAATTTTGAAATTCCAGCCGTGGGACCTTAGGCGAGTTTCTAAACCGCTCAGTCTCTTCATCCAGAAAGAGAGTAATTAAAATGCCTAATGTAGAAAATTACTGGGAATACTAAATTAGAAAGCGCTTGGAATAGTAACAGAGGCACTGTAATCTATGTGTTATTGTTAATATTTCCATGTTCGTAAGACACTTCCTACCTATTTTCCGTAATTACCACACCATGTTTGATGGCTTTCAGACAGTAGGTAACAAATCATAGAGAGAAAAAAAAATATATATATATATTTGCCTCTTGGAGAGTCCAACAAGCTACTGAGAGTATCTCGCCTGCATGGGCAGAGCCTGGCAAGCTCCCTGTGGCGTATTCGATATGCCAAAACCAGTAACTATAACAGGTCTCATTCCCCTGACCCTGAAAGAGCCTCCAATCACTGGGAAAGATGAGTAAGGAGAGGCTGCTAAAATCTCAGAGTTGCTAAATTCCTGAGTGCTTGAATCAGGAGTAACCCCTGTGCATAGAGACGTTACTGGAGCCGGCTCGAGTAAATCGATGATATTTAATGCTATATCTGCACGTATGTGTCAAAGTATTAATGCATCTGATCAATGTAAACAAGTCAATTGTTGTCAATAGTATTGAGCTGGAGCGATAGCATGGCGGTAGGGTGTTTGCCTTGCACGCAGCCAACATGGCCGACCCGAGTTCGATTCCTCCGCCCCTCTCGGAGAGCCTGGCAAGCTACCGAAAGTGTCTCGCCCGCACAGCAGAGCCTGGCAAGCTCCCCGTGATGTATTCGATATGCCAAACACAGTAACAACAAAGTCTCCAATGGAGACATTACTGGGCCCGCTCGAGCAAATCGAAGATCAACGGGAGGGCCTTTACTTTTACTTTTACTATATGTATCCTTAAATAATACATTGTATAAATTTATACATTTGCTAACTTCATAAATAAAATCACGTATATTCCATATGTAATCTTTGGCAACTTGCTTCTTCACTCATGGCTATAACTACTTAAACACAAAAATGAATAATCCTCAGAAACATGTTGTTTGATGCGTTATGTTACTTATGAGGTACATTTTTAATTCTTGATCTCTTTATTTCTTTCATATGCACATTATTTTTCATGGTGTAAAAAATGAAATAAAGAGAGATTGTAATTCCTAGTTTTTGGAGTTAAAAGGTATCTTTCATGAGTTGATCACAACAAAAACAAAAACAAATAAGTGGAAATACATCATATTAAGAAACTTCTGCACAGCCAAAGAAACTTAAGCTAAAAAGTGACCTACTTTAATGAAGGAAACAAAAACAAAAAACAAATAAGTGGAAATACATCATATTAAGAAACTTCTGCACAGCCAAAGAAACTTAAGCTTAAAGTGACCTACTTTAATGAAGGAATATTTTATTGGAAGAAAAACATTTCAATGAGAGACAATATTTACACACATTATATAAGATAAAGACCTAATATCCAATATTTATAAAGCACTCATAAAGCTAACAACCAACCAAACAAAAATCCAACAACCCCATCCAAAAATGGGAAGAGAAGATAAACAGACACTTTCCCAAATAGGGCATTTCCTACAACTAATGGGCATATAAAGAATTGCTCATCATCACTTATGATGAAAGAAAGACAAATCAAAATGAGATATCATCTCACACTAGGGAGAATAGCATGTATCAAAAAAATCTGGAACTATCCAGTATTGGTGGGGATATGGTAACACTGCACTGTAGCACTGTGGATGGTAAGAAAGAAATTCTCACTCACAGTTGGTGAAAATGTCATATGGTTTAATCTTTTTTTGGGGGGGGGTCACACCCGGCGATGCACAGGGGTTACTCCTGGCTCTGCACTCAGAAATTACTCCTGGCGGTGCTCACGAGACCATATGGGATGCTGAGAATCGAACCCAGATTGGTTGCATGAAAGGCAAACATCCTACCTGCAGTGCTATCACTCCAGCCCCAAGGTTTAATCTTTATGGGAACTAATATAGGTGTTTTCCCCCAAAATTATTAATATTTCCCCATAAAATTACAAATATTACCCAGAAATACAACCTATTGGCATCTTTCCCCAACAGCACAAAAACATTAATTCAAAACGATATATGTACACTAATGTGCATTGCAGTGTTTAGTACAATAGCCAAGTACAATAGCCAAATGTCCAAGTATGGATGAATGGATCAAGGCATTGTGGTGTGAACTAAAAAGGCAGATCTAGGGGGATTGGGTAAGGCACCTGTCTTGCACATAGCAATCTAGTCTGTCTATTTTCATTGGAAGAAAATAGAAGTACCACCCCAGCGCTCCATATGATCCTCTGAGTACTGCCAGGAGTGATCCCTGAGCACAGAGTTAGAAGTAATCCCTATTCACCACTGAATGTGACTCACCCCCAAAGAAGTTGTGGTATACACAGTGGAATATTATTATTATTCATCTGTAAGAAATAAATTTGCTGCTACATAGATGGAACTAGAGAGTTCCATCATGCTAGAGGGTGAAGTGTGTCAGAAGGAAAGGGATAGATACAGAATAATCTCCCGGAGGTTTGAGATTTAAAGATAATGGTAAGGGAGGAACAAATAGCCAAAGGCGACATATCTAGAGAGTTCATCCACAGAACTGAGTTTATGGGGGGTGGGGGGCATTAGAATGGGAGGAACCATTGGAACTATAGTGGAGGGAAGTGAGTGGCAAGTGTGATGTTGAAATGGTGTAGACATGAAACTATCATTAACGGTATTATAAACCACAGTGCCGCAATAAAGATTTTTTTTTAAAAAAAATAAAAGGTACTCATCGGTGAAGAAACCCGACAGGCACCACAACACCGGAGAATTCTCCGGGCCCCAAACCGAGCCAATATCACCGGGGTGCCCCAGATGGAGCAGGTGCAGTCTCCCTGCCTTCTCCAGATGGAATCCATGAACTTCTACAAGCATGACTCCAGTATGTGGGGACCAGGACTATTTCTCCGAACTGCGCGGCTTTTCCTGACATACAAAGTGAGCAAAGGAAAATGGATGATCTAGAATCTGCCCCTAGAAGGCAGGTTTGAATAGTGGTGGGAAAATCCAAGCAAAATATAATGCCCAAAACTATAGGGAGGGTATCTGAACAGTTGTCTGCCGTAGAAGCAAGATAAGGACTGAATTGGAGATGGAGGGTATAATAGGGATATTGGTGGTGGAAAGTTTGCACTGGTGGTGGGACGGGTGATTGATCATTGTTTAACTGAATATCAAACATGAAAGCTTTGTAACTGTATCTCATGGTGGCTCATGATTCTGAACTGTGAATTAAGCTATGGCCCCGTGCCACCCGGGGGGGAAGGGCATTGTTCCTGACGCCTTCTTCCCCTTGGCAGCATGGTGACTGCCATCTTTCAGGGCCTATTGGACTGAGAGGTATGCGCCTACAGTGACAAGACATGCGGGGCCTCTCAGGGTGGGAGCTAGAACCAGCCTTTCTCTCTGCTCCGACAAGACCTGGAGTTGCTGCCCACGAACAGCTCCTCTGGCTCCTGAATGGCCATGATCCCAAAGGTGCACAAACCAATTTTGGAACCCAGCAGCTTCTGGCAGAAATCCCTCTGGACTTAATTACTAAAATATCAGAAATCCAAAATTGTGCAGCTGCTGTTGTGGCCGCACGACATCATATGCTCTTCATTATTAGCAATAGGAAACAAAGTATCTAATGATGCCTTCTCAACAGATCTGAATGGTAGGGGAAAATTCCAAATAATAATGGTAGGTTTTCTGTCGAAAAATTGAAGGTAATCAAAGGAGAGAGAGAGAGAGAGAGAGAGAGAGAGAGAGAGAGAGAGAAATGAAAATCATCTGCCACACTGGCAGGGGGAGGGGTGGGATTCTTGGTGGTGGAAAATGTGCACTGGTGAAGGGGTAGGTGTTTGATCATTGTATGACCGAGACTTAAACACGAAAGCTTTGCCAGTGTTCTCACGGGTATTCAATTAAAAAAAAAAGGAAGAATATAATTATCATAAGAATCAGTGACACTACTTCCTGAAATCTACCCAACTAATCCAAAACATTAATTCAAAAGGATATGCACACATGTATGTTCATTGCAGCACTTAGTGAAATAACCAATATATAGAAACAATCCAAATTCCTAACTACTGAGAAATAGACCAAGCAATTGTAGTCTGCATGCCAATGGAATATTATACAGTCATAAGAAAGGAATAAATCTTGCATCTTTTCACTACATGGATGGACCTAAAGGATATCATGCTTAGTAAAGTGAGTTAAAAGGAAAGGGATAGATGCAGACTCATTTCTTTTGTGTGGGATTTAAAGATACACAAAGGGAGCAACAGATAGTTGAAAGTAATTTCTCATAACTAGAGAATTTGTCCAAAGATCATAGAACTAAACTTATGGGGGTGAGTAATGTTGAACAGGATGGTCCCTTGGAGATTGGTGGAAAGAAGTAAACACTCTGGGACAGATGTGGTGTTAAAATGATGTATGCATGACACACCATTAAAAGTACTGAAAAATCACAGTCTCTCAATAATGATAACTAAAAAAAAAATACCTGTTTTCACATCTTCTCTTCCTTATAAGAGAAACATCCATAAATAGCCATCCTATAATTTTCCAAGTCTTAAAAATCAAGACTCAACAAAAGAATGTAGTTAGGATAGAGAAGGGACCACTATGATAATGATAGTTGGAAATGATCACTCTGGACAAGAACTGTGTGCTGAAAGGAGGTGAGTGTTATGATAACCTTTCAGTAATTGTATTGCAGTACTTATATTGCAAAAACATGATTACCTTTCAGTACTTGTATTGCAAACCATAATGTCAAAAAGGGGGGAGGGGAGAGAGAGAGAGAGAGGGAGAGAGAGAGAGAGAGAGAGAGAGAGAGAGAGAGAGAGAAAGTGTCTGCCGTAGAGACAGGCTGGGGTGGGGAGCGGGAAATTGAGGATATTGGTGGAGGGAAATGTATACCGGTGAAGGGACAGTTGTTGAAAGATTGTATGACTGAAACCAAGTCATGAATAACTGTGTATTTCACAGTGATTCAATAAAAAAAGAGAACTCAATGAGTACTGTGCCATATTTAAAAATGAAGTACCCATACAGAACAATCAAGGAAAGTTTTATCACAAGTGTTGAAATAAGATTTTTTTGGTGAAGTTTAAATAGTCACCAAGAGGTTAAATTCACTTGAATACCACAATGCACTGTATTTTGAATTTAAAATCCAGCTTCTGCTATCACTGTGCCATCTCCTGCTAGTGCCCCAGCTTGTACACGCAGTCATCAACTCAGCAAATGATGTGACACTTACCCATGTTCCATTTTCATGGCATTCTTGAGAGTTATTTTAGGTGTTTCTGTCTCAGGCCAAAAGAGTTTAGCCACAGCTAATGAGGCAGGTGCAGACATAACTGAAGCAGTTAACAAGTGAGAGGAAGAGACCTATAATTTTGGACAAAAGAAGGCCAACTTAGGGTCAGTGTCTTTGTAGTATTCAGAAAGAGTAGTCTTACAAAGGAAGAGACAGGAATTTATTCTAAGTCAGAAAAAAACACAGCAGAGGCTTGGAAGAGTTCAATAAGTCACACTGAGGCTGTCACCTTGAAAGGGGAAGAAACGATGAGTTTGTGTTCATGATCATGTTTGGGAAGAGCACACAACCAGAATGCAATCATTTCTGAGACAGCCATGCTTCAGTAACTTTCAAAGATTCCTCCTTCACTGTTATAGTGTTAAAATAGTTCCTAAAATTTGTATTCTGCTATATTTTAAATTTAAATAAGAAATATCTGAGGCATACAGGTATATAAACAGCCCTCTCCACTTCTGTTTGCTCTCTTTAAATCATTTGTGACTTTGTGCGTTAAACTACTGCGCCATGCCTCCCCGGGAGGGAAAGGGTGTTGCTCCCTTCCACCTTCCCCCTCTCCCCCCATCCCTCCAGCAGCAAGGTGGCTGCTGCCTCAGAGTTTATTGGAAAGCCAGGTATGAGCTGGCGGTGATGGGGCAACTGCAGTCTCATGGGAAGGGGGATGGTACCTGCTCGTCCTTCACGCCCTACCGAGGTCATGAGTTGCCCCCCACAAGTGGCTCTCCCGCACAGCCATGGCTCCAGAGGCAAAAGGACTTAGTCCAGAGCCTGGTAGCTTGTGGCAGAACAGTGAATGGACCATGCGTTAAACTATGGTGCCATGCCTCCCCGGGAGGGAAAGGATGTTGCTCCCTTCCGCCTTTCTCCCCCCTGGCAGCAAGGTGGCCCTCCCCTCAGAGCTTATAGAAAAGCCAGGTATGAGACGACGGTGAGGGGGCAATTGCAGTCTCATGGGAAGGGGGGCGGTACTGGCTCGTCCTTCACACCCTACCATGGTCATGAGTTGCCCCCCACGAGCAGCTCTCTGGCACAGCCATAACATCAGACACACAGAAACCAATCTCGTAATTATCTGGCTCTTTGCAGAAATCCAAAATTGCGTGGCCGCTATTGTGACTGTATGACATTATATGATTCTCATAACCAGCTATAGAAAACAAAGTATTTCACAATGCCTTTTCAGCAATTCTTATTGTTGGGGGGACGGGGAGGCGGAATTCTAAACAATAATGGTGCATCTTTTGTCAAAATAATGAATGTAATCAATGTAGAGAAGAGTGAAGTGGAAATCATCTGCCTCACAGGCATTGGAAGGGGTGTGAGGGGGGTATATTGAGGTTCTTGGTGGTGAAAAATGAGTACTGGTGAAGGAAGAGGTGTTTGATCATTGTATGACCGAGACTTAAACCAGAAAGCTTAGTAACTTTTCCCACAGTGATTCAGTAAATAAATATAAGAAGAAAAAAATAAAAAAAATAATTTGTGACTTTATTTGATATTTCTTTTCCAGAGTGTCTTTAATCTACAAATAAGTCATTTTTTCAGCTGCAAGTCTCCTTAAATTTCTTCCTCTTTTCTCCTAACATTCTTCTTTTGTTTCTGGATACTCTTCTCTACATTTTTAGAATTTTGAACTCAGCTTTTCCCCCATTTTACTAGCACACGGCTACCCATGTAACACGGCCAATTGGATCACCTGGGGACTCAGTCAGACTGCTAAGGTTCCTTCACTTTTTTTTCTCCCTTTTCCGATTGATAGACTTTTTGAGGCCCAGGTAAGAATCCTGGGATAAAAAGATTAGGGGTCAGAGAGAAAATATTTTCTGCATTCAAGCACAACTACTCAACTTTAATGTGCAAGCTGTTATATAGACAGAGGGATAGTTGGTTTGTCAAAAACCTTCTGTTATGTAAATAGGGAGGGAGCTAGGTTTAGCTCATGGGCACTCCCATTGATTCCTGGTCTAGACTGCATTTAATAAAGCTGGTAGGAGTAAGGCTGGAGAGATAGATAGTATAGGGCTTAAGGTGCACCCTATTGACCCTGGTTTGATTTTCTAGCTTAGGGTTCCCCTACCACAATCTGGCGTTTGTTTCTGAGCTCCCTAAAAGGTCTTGCCCTAAAACAAAACAAAACAAAACAAAAAAAAAAACATGAAGTTTTGGGGTTTGGTTTGTTTTGCATATTAAACTTATCAGTTAACTCACAAGTTATGATTTCATTCTGCTATAGTTGGATATAACTCACATTTAGGTGACGGGGATATAAAGCAAAGCCCTAAAATTCCCTGACTCACACCATTCAGATTCCAAAAGAATTGTCACCAACCATATACTAAGAAGTCCTCACTTTTTTGCTACCTTAGTCAGCAGCAATGGTAAAGAGAAACGGAGTGAGCCAGCTCAATGGGATGAGCACATGCTCTGTGTAAGGGAAGTCAGGGTTGAATAGTCTGATCACCAGCACCACATGGTTTCCTTCCCCTCCCTCTGCCCCCAAACACACCGTAGAACTTACTGCTCAAATGAGCCCTAAGAACAGAGCCAGGAGAAGCCCCTGGACACTGCCTCCCCACCAACAAAAAACAACAAAGTAACCATAATAAATAAATAAATGAATAAATAACTGTCTTTCTTCATAAATTAGTCCCAGAATATTCTCACCCCAAAAGAAATGTATGCGCCTAAGACACTTCCAGCAATGGTTGCGAACCCAGCAGTCATGATTGCATGAAGTTCAGACTTGGTGATATGTGGTAAATACGGTCGGACCATAAGTGGAGATTCTGTCTGGAAATGAAGAGAGACCATATCAAGACTCTTTCGCAGTTTGCTGCCATGTAGATAGAACTGGAGGACACTGGATTAAGTAGAACAAGTCAGAGGGAGAAGGACAAATACTGCATGATCTCACTACTTTGTGGAATATAGAGAAAAATCAGAGGAAGAACAGGACTGAGCAACAACAAAGCTTTACCTCTGCATTACAAAGCTGATTAGCAAATCGAGCGGGGAAGCCTGGGGAGTAAGAAAGATCAAACGGGAGATGGGATATAGGGTGAGAGTCAAGGATCTTGGGCACTTTGGTGGTGGAGGGCTGCTGTAACTTTGTACATCAAAATCATAAACAGTAACATTTTATTTTATATTTTGACTACACAGGGTAGTGCTAGAGTGTACTCTTGGCTCTGTGCCCAGGGATTACTCCTGGTGCTGCTTGGGAGACCATATGAACAGAAACTTCTCTGAAGAAGACAGGCAGATGGCCAACAGGTGGATGAAAAAGGGCTCATAATTACTTATTATCAGGGAAATCCAAATAAAGATGACAATAAGGTATCATTTAACACCAGTGAGAACAGCACATTAAAACATAACAGGATACAATCTTTGTTGGTGGAGATGTAGTGAAAAAGTGACTACCATTCATTGTTGGTGGGAATGTTGTCTATTTCAACTCCTAAGGAAAGCAGTATGAAGATTTCTCAGAAAAGCAAGAACAGAGCTGCCATATGACCCAGCAATTCCACTTTATTGGCATTTACCTCTAGGACAAAAAAATATTCAAAGCACATATGTTCATTATAGCACAAGAGCTAGGATATGGAATTATATATATATATATACACACACTGTGCCTCTGAAAGGAGCAAAGAAATCATGGATTCTCTTTACTTAGATGGCACTAGAACTATTATGATTAGTGAAATAAGTCAGAAGAAGGAAGAATACCAGGTGATTCACTTATCTGTTTTATATAGAATAACAGGATGAGGGAATACGAGATATCAAGGGGGAGATGCCTAGATTTCCCTTAACCCTAGATTATAGAAATGAGGACAGGGAAGGAGAGAAATTGAGGAGGGGAAGTAATATATATTATTTTAACAAAATAATATATGTTATTAACAATAATTAATACAATAATATATAATTTATAAATGGTCACGGTCCTCTCGTTGTTCATTGATTTGTTCTAGCGGGCCCAGTAACGTCTTCATCGTGAGACTTGTTGTGTAGCTTGCCAGGCTTTGCTGTGCGGGCGAGATACTCTCGGTAGCTTGCCAGGCTCTCCGAGAGGGGCGAAGGAATTGAACCCAGCTCAGCTGGGCCGGCTGCGAGCAAGGCAAACACCCTACCGCTGTGCTATTGCTCTAGCCCATAATTTATAAAATATAATAATATATCTATTAAGTTAAAATGTGCTTGTCAAACTTTAACTTAACATAAAAAATGTGCTTGCCAAGGGTAATTAAAATAGTCGGTGGATAAGGCTCTTACATTGAACCTGACCCAGAGCAATCTCCAGCAGCACATGTGGTCCCTGAGTCCCGCAGAAGTAAGCACGAAGCACCACTAAGTGTACTAAAAAAGAAATGTTTGCCAAGGAGGCAGGCTGGGGATCAGTAAAGGGAGCCTGGGTACATTGATGGAGGGAAGTTGGTACTGGTGGTGAGGTTGGTGTTAGAACATTATATACCTGAAACTCAACTAGTAACTTTATAAATCATGGTGCCTTAATAAAAATTAATTAAAATATTTTAAAAAAATTTACAAAAGGGCATGTCAATTTATTCAACATTCTATTCTTTATAGTACTTTCATCTATGACTGGACCTTCAAGAGATCCAACAGCATAAGCTGGGACCTCCTGAAAAATTCTAATTCTCAGATTCACTAAATTAGATCCTCTGACTTGGGACCAGAAATCTGTGTATTTATCTGAGTGGGGAATGCTCAGGCAGCACTCAAGGGGCCCCTGGGCCTACTCTCTGCAATATTCAACCACAGGTGGGGTGGTTAGTTTCTCAGGTAGGGATGTGGTGCTTCTCAGGCTGGTGGCACTCATGGGCTCTCAGGCCACACCTGGTAATGCAGATCTAGCAACCTGTGTTTTAATAAGTCTTCTGGGTCAAGAACCTTTGACTTCTTGATCAGTGTGCATGGAGGGTCACATGTAAATTTTGCAATGTTTGTAAAACAGTTGTCTTTACATAACGTCCCCATTTTCCCCTGGGGCAGTGCACTCTGCTCACGCTCATTATCTCCATCCAGAGGCCCACCCTGAAGAACTGGTGATTTTCAAACCTCTATGGCTTCATCTGGACAGACCATAAACTACTCTGCTGCCTAAAAGATCAGAAAGACAAGTTCAAACAATAGTAGCTAAAATAAGGCAGTATCCCAAGGCCCTTTCTTAATTGAGAGTCAGAACCCTTTGGCGGGGAAATAATCAAAGTGTGGTTACAAAGTCTTGCACTTGTTCAGGAGCACAGGCAGACTGCAGTGTGGGATTCTATGCAAATAATAGCTGTACTTAGAGCAAATTAGGTATTAAATTGAGCACCACAGAAAACATATGTGCAATTTTGCGATTTCCCCCTCATTATTTTTATTTGTTCTGTAAGATTGAATATATTGGGCTCGATAGCACAGCAGTAGGGCGTTCGCCTTACAAGCGGCCAACATGGCCGACCCGAGTTCGATTCCTCCGCCCCTCTCGGAGAGCCCGGCAAGCTACCGAGAGTATTCGATATGCCAGACACAGTAACAACAAAGTCTCCAATGGAGACGTTACTGGGCCCGCTCGAGCAAATCCACGATCAACGGGAGGGCCTTTACCTTTACCTTTACCTCGGCTTCAGTTTATAGACAAAATAGAAGCTCAGTAGAAGAGCACTCTTACTCTGTAGCCCAGAGAAATCAACTCAAGATGGTGCCCTAACCTAGTCCAGATATATTTTATGACTATGATAATAAAAATTTCAACTTCTAGGGAAGGAAGTGTGTGCTTCAAAGACTGTGCTCCAGACCAGCCAGATTAGCGTATCAGTAAGAAAACCTGCCTCTGGCATTTATAATCCTATAATATCTTTCTGAATAACTTGATTTTTGATTCAGGAATTCAATTTCTTTGGGAAGCTGTGCCAATCATTGTTTACTCTTGACTTTCTTGGTGTGTGATACCATTCTGCTAAAAGCTACGTATGCAGAGTAAGGAGTAGATTAATAGCACTCACCCACTCCTTAGGAATGCAGCTCTCTTATTTGGATTTGGACCATGCCATATAGTGCTCAAGGGTTATTCTTGGCTCTGTGCTGGGAACCACTCGTGGTGCTGGAGATTTGAACCAGGATCACTGCCGTCCCCCCTTGCTATCTTTCCAGCCTCAAGAAACGTTGCCCTTTTGAGGGATCCCCCTTAGCTCATACTTATTTGCCAAAAAGAAAAGTATTTATTTATCCAGGTATGCAAAAATTTATCCACTTATCAGAGAGGGTGAAAATGTTCATTAATGTTTTCTTCCAGGTTCAGAAAAGACGGTTGACTAGGTTTCTATTGCCAACTCCAAGAATGAGTTCAAGCAAGGCTGTCGGTAGAGTATTTTTTTGGGTGTCTTCTATTGCCACAAGCATTACACAGAAAAATGTGAATCTGCCTGTTACTTGTTTGTGGCAGCTTCTAAAAAGGTGGTGCACTTTCTATGAGTCTTGTGCTGCTTGTCTCTGAGGGTGGGCTCGAGAAATCTACAGTTCAATAAATTCAAGGATGGCAGAGACAGTACAGGGTGATAAAGTGCTGCCTTGCATGTGGCAGACTACAGTTGAATTCCTGGCATTGTATACAGTTCCCTGAACACTGCCAGAAGTGATGACTGTGCAGAGTGCCAGGAGCAAGCCCTCCGCACCACCAGGTGCGGTCCCCAAACTAATAATAATAATAAATGCCAAAACAATGAAAACTATTAAAATTCAACAAATTCAGAAAAAGTTTTTATGCTTTATATATGCTATATATGCTTTGTAGACATAAATATGCATTTATAATATACATCTGCACTTTAGTAGTCCTGTGCTTTGATGAAATGATTTACTCTTTCTTCATTCAAATGGGCTGGAGTGATAGCACAGCAGGTAGGGCGTTTGCCTTCCATGTGGCTGACCTGGTCCCCCCGAGTTTGATTCCTCCGCCCCTCTCAGAGAGCCCGGCAAGCTGCTGAGAGTATCTCGCCTGCACAGCAAAGTCTGGCAAGCTCCCCATGACTTATTCAATATGCCAAACACAGTAACAACAAAGCTTCACAATGGAGATGTTATTGGGCCCGCTCGAGCAAATCGATGAACAACGGAAGGACAGTGCTACAGTGCTTCATTCAAATACTCAAAATTCAGGCTAGTTCACTGAACTCTTTGAAGGGATCTTCTCTATTCCTCTCTGCCCAGTATCATCCCCCACCTCCTTGTCTTCTGTGAAACTGGGCACAGTCAAGACTGAAGGTTTCTTTTGACCCGTAGTCCCCAGGATGGAAGAAACAATACCATCATTTTTGTTATGCTTTCTTGGAAGAATATGCACTTCAGGAGGTGCTTTATTTCATTTTTATTATTGACAGTATGCGGAGCGATAGCACAGCAGTAGGGCGTTCGCCTTACAAGTGGCCAACATGGCTGACCCGAGTTCTATTCCTCCGCCCCTCTCGGAGAGCCCGGCAAGCTACCAAGAGTATTTGATATGCCAGACACAGTAACAACAAAGTCTCCAATGGAGACGTTACTGGGCCTGCTCGAACAAATCGACGATCAACGGGAGGGCCTTTACCTTTATATTGACAGTATGACTCACCTGCCCAATGAATATATTGCCAGCTGCAACAACAGACTCAATTGGGGATGATCCCATAGTAACAAGCATTAGCCACCCAACCTAAAAGGGAAAAAGGGACAAGATCAGTAAAAACACTTTGTGGATACCCAAAGATTTAGAGTAAAGATAAAGCTTTTTAAAAAGAAGAAACTAAAAAAATGGAGAAGACTTCAGCAAGTGTTGGCAGTCAGCTCTGGTAGCACCAGTGAGTTCTCTTTCTCTAGCCCATAGAGCAGACGATTAAATCCTCCTATGGAAGATCTAGGTCTGGTACAATGTGTCTACACTGAATATTATATAAAATAATTTCTATTGTTGCATGCAAATATAAATTGTTTTGCTAATGATCTCAGCGGGTTTTACTGCAGCTCAGGCGGAATTTTAAGCTTTTGGCTTGGGTAACACATTTAATGTTTACATTAACTATTTCAGGGAAGACCTATAAGTATGCCAGTTTTATAGACTTAAAAACTGAGGCAGGGTCTGGAGCAATAGCACAGCAGGTAGGGTGTTTGCCTTGCACGCCGCTGACCTGAGTTCGATTCCCAGCATCCCATATGGTCCCCTGAGCGCCGCCAGGAGTTATTTCTGAGTGCAGAGCCAGGAATAACCCCTGTGCATTGCCGGGTGTGACCCAAAAAGCAAAACAAACAAACAAACAAACAAAAAAACCCCCAAAACTGAGGCATAGACTACTTTTATCAATGATCAAGCTACTAATTAGAATATTCTATATATTGTGGTATTCTGGCCCTCCCTTTTAATAATTCTCTTTTTTCCCCTCTAAATAGCTTTATCTGCATATACAGTCCTGTGTGCATTCATACTAGCTTACAAATTTTCTGTTTTTATAGCTAACTGTTAAACTTACAGTTTCTGGGAAGTAAGAATAAAATAAATTCCTTAGACTAAAAAAAGAAAAAGTATGCTTAGAGGCTGGAGAGACAGTCAGTAGGTAGGGCTTGCACATGGTCAAATTGGGTTTTATTCCCTGGTGCCTGATACAGTGACCTGAGTACTTCTAGGAATGATTCTTGAGCAAAGAGCCACAGTAAGCCTTGAGCATCATTGGGCGTGACCCCAACCTACCTCCCACCCCAATATTTCCTTATTAACCTTTCAGGAGCCCAAAGCAGCTTCCTCATTCTTGCTTTGGTTCTGTGGCAGTTCCTACAGCAGATGGATCCATTTTTGATACCCCCTAATGTAAAGCAGTGACTCTTAAAAGGCACAAAATGATCCACAAATTACTAGGTCTTGTGGACAAGTCATACATCTGTCATCTGCTTGTTCTCCACAGTAATGTTCTGACCTGTCCTAGTACTTATTTGGCTAATTGCAAAGATTTCATGAAAATATATTCTAGCTTTTAAGTCTACAATCCTTTTATGGCTACATATAGGAAACATGTTAGGTTTGACTCTAATAACTTAGATGGCAGAGGTGAATCTTGGAGCAGAGATAAACGTACTTTGCAAAAACCTGGATAAAAGGAAGTTGAGAGTTTGTTTCTAAAATAATGAGCTCTGCACCTGTACCTTGTTTGTGACAGTCCCGTACCTTTCGAATGATCCATTGCATCAACCCCAGGTAGTACAGCATAGACATCACAGTGCTGAAGAAAACCACGATGGGCAGGACCTGGATGTGGGGAGGGAGGGACCAAAATATTGTGTTACTCTTTTATTTCTTTCAAATTTTTTAAATTGAATTACTGTGAGATTTACAGCTACGCAGTTGTTCATGATTTTGTTTCGATAATACAATGTTCCAACACAGGGCACATTTCCCACCACCAATCACTGTTATTGTTGGCCCAGTTACTAGTCGACTCCACGGTGGTCTCCTTCTTCATCTGTTCCTTCATCCTAAACATTAGTGCCTCAACTAAATAGCACTCGTTTTTACTAGGTAGCTTTTCACTTCAGTCTAATTCTAATTTGGTCTGGATTAGCTTGAACACATATTTAGAAGAATAGGCAGGGCTGGAGAGATAGTACAGGAGGTAAGGCACTTGTACAACATGTGATCAACCCTGGTTTGATCCCTAGCAGCATGTATGGTCCTCCAAGCACTTCCAGGACTGATTCCTGAACAGAGAGCTAGAAGTAAGCCCTGAGCACAGCTGTGTGTGGCCCTATAACAATAAATAAGCAAATATGTAAGTAGGTAAATAAATAAATTGTTGGGGACAGACCCAGGGGGATCTGGAGGATCGTCAGGGTCACACCCAGAAGTTGGTGGGGGGTGAGGAAAGGCAGCATCCAGGAGACACACATGAAAATATGTTCATATCTATTTGAATCCTGGCCTCCTGACATTTAAAACATGTGTTGTGATGAGCTCTTCTTTAATTTCTCAGAGATTGCAGAAGTTGGGGGAATTTGTAAAGAGTAGATCAACAAAGTGAAGGCTAAGAGCAGATGCTCTTGCTGTTCTAATATTGAGTGTGCAGGAGCCTCAGGACTCACCAGCAGAAGAACCCGGATCTGTGAGAAACAGAACTTCCCAATCGGTCATAGTCTCCTGTAGAAACGGCAGCTACAGGCATGTGCTAACACACGTTACCACTATGTTGTACATCCTTGTTCATTTAGCTTTTAAGTCATGATTTATAGATTTCCTTATTTTTTTAATTAAAAAATTTCTTAACATATTTAACATTAAAATTTGTATTAAAGTGATATAGGTTTATATCATTATTTAAGTGGATGACCTTATAAGGGCTGGAGCAATAGCAGAGCGGGTAGAGCATTTGCCTTACACGCAGCCAACATGGCTGACCCAAGTTCGATTCCTCTGCCCCTCTCGGAGAGCCCGGCAAGCTACCGAGAGTATCTCGCCCACACGGCAAAGCCTGGCAAGCTATCCATGACATATTGGATATGCCCAACACAGTAACAAGTCTCACAATGTTACTGGGCCCGCTCGAGCAAATCGATGAACAATGGGACGACCGTGACCGTGACCTTATAAATCAGTTTCTCTATCTGCATTTGATCCTAGTACAGCTTTTAGGCAAGGCATAGCCTCTGCAGTGTTGTGCAGCTGGTCTGGCTTGCAGTGTCCCTCCACTGTGGAGTTCAGTCTGTGAATGTACAGCCCATGGATGCTGGGACCGGGAATGTGACTTTAAGTAGACCCAGCACTACAAGTCCATGTTCTTTAAAACTGAGCTCCATTACATACGCTCACTGCTAGAGTCTGGCTTCCACTCGGGACTTCTGTCATTCATTTACCCACCCACTCCCCAATTGCTTTCTGGTAACTACTAGTTCACTTCACTATTTACAGGAACTGTCTATTTCTAGATCTATCTTTTAGACGTTCTCTGGGAACTTTCAGCACAACCTATGCATCTACAGGGAGAAGTTTCAGCCCTGGGTTCCTCCATCCCTTATTCCTCTACACTCTTTCCCTCTGGCCAGAACAGTCAGTAAACCTGGTGAGAAGAATGAAGGATGGCAATAATTTGTGTAGTATCTAATTAAGAAAAAGCTATTCATATATTGTAAAAGATGTTTTGTGCCATCATTTATAGTTCATTTATGTGTAAGCTTTTGTTGACTTTAATGAACAGGTAAAGCTCCTTCAAGCTTTCTGAAGTTAAAGGGGCTCATCTCTCGAATGTTCCCATGGAAATTCTGCTTTGACAGAAAGGATGGAGATAACAGGGTTGATGACAGTGGTACAATTTGGGCAATAAGCTATATAATCTTCCTTGTGACTTGATTTCCTTCCATTTGGAATTCATTATAGGAACATACTGATTTTTTCCATTTTCTATGCCCTTGGCTTTTCAGAGATGGCTATATGACTCTTTCAGCACCAACTCAGCAACTAAAACGTTCAGCAGGGACCAGAGAAGTGATGCAAGGAGCTGTGAGCATGCTCTACATGCAGGAGAATCAGGTTCAATTCCTGGCACTGATTGGTCCCCTGAGTCAGGATTGGGGAGTGGCCATTGAGTAACTTCAGCTCTGAGTAACTTCAGCCCTCCCCACCATCACAAACAAAATGCAAACAAAAAAGATCACCAATCAGTTTTAAAAAGGATTCAATGTAATACTTGATCTAACTGAAGCCAGGGTAATTTGGAGGTAAATTTGGAATCTTTACATGAGAAAATTACTTAGGAGTGTAGAAAAGAAGATCCAATAAGCAAAAGCCCAAAGCATCTTTCTGTGTCAACAGTATGTGCGGACAATTCCCAGAGGAAGGTGGACTTGGAGCCCCAAGAAGGAACCTACAGAGCCAGCTAGACCTGTGGCCAGGTTGTCTGGCCTGTAAATGACGTTCCTTTCATTTGATCAGAAGGCTCCCCCTACTGGCCTGCTGAGGCATCAGCGGTGCTGAAGAGAAAAAAGGTTTTAATAATGGGGTTGGCTCTGGAAGGGCAAAGGTTGGAGTGAGAGAACAGCTGCTCCTGCCAACCTGAACCCAGGGGCTCCCGCCGTGCAGAGTGGCCAAGCCCAGAACCTGGAAGAGATTAGTGGCCACATGTCTCTTCATTGCCAAATCTCCTACTCTTTCCCCAGAAGTCTCAGATACTGTTACCACATATGTTTTCATAAGTACAGTTTCTGTTGCAAGCCCTTCCCGACTCTTTGAAAATTTATAATTTTCTCTAGATGTTTCCCTTGATGCTATAAAATAACAAAGTAAATGTTGGTGTATATAAAATTATAATGAACAAGGATAGTGCTGTATGTTGCTCCAATAGCATATCTGGCCAGTTTGTTTTTAGTTGAATATTTGCAAAGAACAAGAAGCTATTGAAAAGAAAGTAGTCTGGTTTTTACCTTAAATGCAAAAAAGTGGTCTGTGTATTTCTCACCGAAGACGAAAGAAGAGCCAGCATTAGTATACTCCAAGAACGTCTGCGTTAAAGAAAGGACAAGAGTAAATGGTGATGGTGATTCTGGGCCATGGGACCCACCAGGCTCTGCAGAGTGCGGGGCCCAACAGACTTGTTTCAGAGACTTGGAAAATTGGTTTGTTTCTTTCCCCCTGTTTTTCCTTCTTCTCCAGTAGATGTCATCAAGTCTATTTTTGAACTCTATCTTCATATAGATATCCTCTCATTCCTCAGAGTGTGACTCGAGGATGCCAAATAATGAAACATGGTCATCAATAGATGCAAAGAAAGCCTGTTTCTCCACGAGAACATCTTAAAAGTGTGACACTCCTTAGGCATGGTGAGAGGACAAAATGGCATAAAGCAATGACTTAAGAGATGGAATAGGAAAGGGACAACCACAGCTGGAGTAAAACATTTGGGGTAATTAATGCAGAACCAAAACAGCCTATTTGTGACATCCTGAGTTTTATATCTAGACATTAACAGTATCATTAAAAACAAGGTGTTCTTTCGAACCAAACATACCTGAACCTGTTTGCCCAACCAATCAAAAGCCATAAATCCAGGTTTAGTCCTTAGAATTAAGAGTCCAAGAAAAAACTGTAACCCAATTCCCCAAAAGATAGGCCTCCAGTAAACCTAGATAGATTGAAAAAAATTTATTAGAAATAAATGGTGACTCAGCATAAATACCCAGAGCCTCCCCATTGCCTTAGATACATCTTAAGGGCTGAGCGATAGCACAGCGGTAGGGTGTTTACCTTGCTGGAAGCCAGTCCGGCCAAGCTGGGTTTGATTCCTCCTCCCCTCTCTCTCTCCCCCCCTCTTGGAGAGCCCGGCAAGCTACCGAGAGTATCTTGCTCGCACGGCAGAGCCTGGCAAGCTACCCGTGACGTATTCGCTATGCCAAACACAGTAACAACAAGTCTCGCGATGGAGACGTTAGTGGGCCCGCTTGAGCAAATCGATGAATAATGGGAGGATTGTGACTGTGACCGTGACATCTTAAGTATAGCCAAATTTTCTTTAGGAGGCGAAAACAGTCACTGGCAGAGACTCTCCTGATAGGATTATATTAAGAATCTCAACTTTGTATTTCCTCTTCTTAAACTTGAGCTGATAAAGCCTTTATCAAGATGTTATATTATGATGTCATGACAAAATAATTTAGACGCAAAGGGTCTTTTTCATGACCTTAAATGGATCAATAAAAGAGGGAGAATATGACTTTCCTAGTCACGCTGCCAGTATTAGATACCCCAACCTATTTCCCATCTGGAAAATAAAAGGTAGAAAATAACCACTTGGTGTGGTCAAGTTTTGTTGATTTGATAATCAACAAAGGTTTGTTGTAATTGGATTAAGTGAAATTCCACCCTGCTCAGGGGCTTCATTTCACTGTAAAAGAAACCAAATAACTCTAATGCAGACCCAGGATCAACAATAATGGACAATAATCTGGTTTCCTTTTAGGTGCAGATATGATTGGCTTTCAAAAAGCCATGAGATTGTAAGTATAGAAAAAGCAGAAATGTTCAATCCATAGAAACAAACAAAAAAAAATGGATCTTATTAGGTTGGTGGCTTTGGTTTCTGATGTTTGTTTTTTTTCTTGAGTAACCTTTCACACAGTACTTTATGAAGTTCAGACAAACTTCTAAAATTTATCACTTTGGGACAAGTGTGAAAACTTTGATATCTCAGTATTGCCAGTGTAAGAGTATAGGATGGAAGAATAAGGATGAGAATTGAATTCAAAGTAAACAAAACTCTTTATGTGAAAATAAATGGAATGATCACTTGATCACTTGACTTCCCGTTAATTGGCAATTTGTTCGAGCGGGCGCCAGTAACGTCTCCATTTGTCCCTGTCACGTGCTAGTGTAGCCCAGTGGCGTCTGTTCATTCTAGGAACACGAAGAGCCTCAAACTGATCGTTCATGATCTTGATGAAGAAGTCTGACCATCTGGTAGGTGGGCGGCCACGTGGTCTTTTGATGTCCGTGGAATCTAGTCAGTAATGGCTCTAGTCCAGCAGTCATTTCTAAATCTCATTATGTGCCCAGCCCATCTGATTTTTGACACCTTGGCAAACAAGACAGCATCCCTGATTTTTGATCATCGACAGAGGTTGGAACTCTGGATTCTTTCTCTCATTTGAGTGAAACGTGATACTCCAAGCATAGCTCTTTCAATTCCTCTTTGGGAGACCCGAATAGCATTCTCATCCTGTTTGCGTAGGGCCCAGGTCTCTGAGGCGTATGTTAATGCAGGAAGAACAGTGGAATCAAAGAGATGTGCCCGGAGCTAGAGGTTCTTCGTCCTCTTAGCTATTTCTTCGACGGTCTTGAAGGCGTTCCAAGCCACTCTCTTCTTCCTGCGCAACTCAGGTGCCAGGTCATTCATCACGTTGACTTCTCGACCTAGGTACACATAACTGTTGCATTTGGAGATGGTCGTTCTGTTGAGAGCAAATGGAGCGTCAGAAACCAGCCTGTTTCTCATAAACATTGTCTTCATAAGAGTCAGCTTATGATTCAGCATAAGATTCCGATCTTTCCACACTCACGGTTGAAGTCGGCCAGCATTTGTGCTGCTTGGCTATTGTTTGGTGTTATTAGAACAACATATCAGCAAAGTGGAGGTGATGTAGTTGCCGGCCATCTATCTTCACTCCCATTTCTTCCCATTCCAGTCATCACATGATGTTTTCGAGGGTGGCACTGAAGAGTTTCGGTGAAATGGTATCACCCTGCCGTACCTCTCTCTTGACATCAATGATTACTTCTTTGTAGAATGGTGAGATCCTGGTAGTGAATCTGTGAATCCTTAATACAGCTCACGGAGGATCCTGATATATTGAGTTTGAATGCCCTGATTGGCTAGGGCTTACAATGACAGCTTTCATCTCAACCGAATCAAAGGCCTTCTTTAAATCAATGAGCGTTAGACAGAGAGGCACCTTGAACTCCTGAGAAACCTCAATGAGCTTGGTTATCACATGGATATGGTCGATGGTGCTGAATCCTTTGCGGAACCCGGCTTGCTCGCATGATTGTCCTTCATCTAGTATTCTGCCAATCCTATTCAGGATGACTCGAGTGAACAGCTTGTAGATGACAGACAAAAGGCAGATTGGGCGACAGTTGCCAATGTCATTGATGTCTCCCTTCTTGTACAGTAGTACAGTCCTGCTGGTTTTCCACTGGGACGGAACCTTGCATTCAGACAGGTAGCGTGTGAAGAGCCGAGCCAGCGTATTGATAAGTATTGATGGCAGGTTCTTCAGGTGTTCAGGTCTAACCTTGTCTGGGCCGGGTGCTGTTCATTTCTTTATGGACCAAATGGAGTGTCGGATTTTGGAAGGGAGAACATTGGGAACGACATATCCATGCTGTGGAATTTGGTACGTGGGCAGGTGGACATGGCTATCGAAGAGATCTGAGAAGAAGTCATGGATAATCTTCTCCATTGCTCTTCTGGAAGATGTGATAGATCCATCAGGACATCGGAGGGCAGTCATCTTGGTCTTGTAGTTGGCGAAGGACAGGTGGGCGTTACGAATGCTTTTCCTGGCTTCTTTTCCCTCCACTACCTCCACTACCCAGCCGCCGCCATGCTCCAGGGTGCTTTCTGGAATGCTTTGTAGCCTAGTGACACATTATAAGACACTTAATGTCCATCTTCCAGAATTGCTGCACCTTATTTGATAGGGTTCAAATATGGTTTGAACCATGGTAACACCTACAAGGGCAATTAAAGGGTGCCCCAAAAGCCTCTATCCCTCTCGGAGAGCCTGGCAAGCTACTGAGAGTATTCCGCCCACATGGCAGAGCCTCACAAGCTATCCGTTGTGTATTCGATATGCCAAAACCAGTAATTACAAAGGGTCTCATTCCCCTGACTCTGAAGCCATCACCAATATGGCAGCATTGAGAAGGATGAGAAAGGAGAGGCTGATAAAATCTCAAGGCCGATCTAGGCTGCCAAAACGAAGGAAGAATAAAATGATCATCTGTACTTTCAATGCATATACACTAGCATCGGATGAATCCATCAAGGACCTGATGGTAAAAGCGTGAAAGATCAAGTATGATATCATTGGTCTGACCGAGACAAGAAGGCACAAATCTCATCATGCCGTTTTTGACACTGGAGAAGAATTGTTCCTCGGAACATGCGATCAAAGAGGCGTCAGAGGTGTCGGTCCTTGTCAATGCGAACTTGGCCATGAACATTGATTCATTCGAATGCCTAACAACCCGAATCGGACATTTACATTTGAATAGATGTGGCTCACTGCCAGTAGTTTCTATCTTCGTTGTCTAAGCACCAACATCCAATTATGATGAAGGAGAAATTGAGAAGTTCTACATGGAGCTGGAGGAGTTCTATAAAGAAGACCACACCTTCTACAAGATCATTGTGGGTGATTTTAATGCCAAGATAGGACTGAGAAGATCAGCTGAAGAACTCCACATCAGGACCCATGGCCTAGAATGGAACAAACAGGGTGAGAGACGGTCTGAGTTCATCATCTTGACCAAGACCATCCATGGTAACTCACAGTTCCAGAAGTCCGAATCTAAACATTGAACATGGGAGTCTCCCGGTGGACGGTTCCACAACAAAATAGACCACATCATATTCAATTGGCGGTTTTGCCTGACTGATGTTGCTGGTGTCCCAAAATTCCAAACGGGATCAGACGACCGTCTCCTTTGTGCAAAATTCTACTTCACAGAGCGGGGAGAAAGGGCTGCAAAGTTTAAGAAGAGAGCTCCCAGGATGACCACCAACTGGGAGCTCTTTGGCACTATTGCTGCGACATGGGAAGATGACATTGTTGATAACATTGACGAGGAGTACGATGGACTGGTTCAGCACCTCCATGATTGTGCAAGGAACGCCGAGAGAGAGATAGCCACAAAAAAATGCCCATCTTTGAAAACTCTTGAGCTTATTCGCCAACGTGGTTTGGCGCATGCCTCAGGCAACTGCAAGTAAATGTCTGAGCTCGCAAAGTAGTGCAGAGATGCGATCAAGGAAGACCTCAAAGAGAGAAGAGCAGAAGTGCTGATAGATGCGGCAGAAGCCGGGAAACTGGAACGAAATAGCCACAATTGTGAATTATCAACTGGGAATTTGATAAATTACAGAATACAATGGCAGAAAAAAACTTGATTATTAACTGGTCAGAATAAATATATATTAAAATGACTTTTCTTTGTGTGTGTATTGATTGGGGGTAGGTAAGTGCATGTATAAGATAGAAAATGGACTGCACAGGAGAGAACATCTCACTGGTTATATACGTGGAAAATTACAGAATGAAAAAAGAGAGTAATGTACAAAGAAAGCTCATGAAGAAGGTTACTTCAGTCTTTTGAAATATCATAATAAGGTAAGATAAACATTAAAATAACAGTTCAGTTCTCTTCTCGCTAATTTAGCAATTTACATGTGAGAAAAAAATCAAACCCCCAAATGTTTGATTCCATACTTACTTTGGTTGGGTGCTTGGAAAATAGAAATACCAGAACAATGTACATTATAAGTCCCCCAAATGACACCAGCTGCTGTTGGCCCAGTTTGGCAGTATCCAAGGCTAGCCATAAAATAATCCCAAGGATCAGTGCGCTCCAAATAACCCTAAAAGAATGAAAAAGGAGGCATTGGCACCATTTGTTGTGCTAAATTAGGAATCATATTCAGACTTAAATAAATAAAACTATTAATAAGAGTAACACACACTGGCACCAGTAAGTTGTGCTTCTAGAAATTTCAACAGACTGGGGAAAATTTGGACACAAGAATAAATAAGCAAAGAAAAACAAATAAAGAATAAATAAGCAATGTCTTTTCATTCTTTTACAACTTTAGGACCTTTATATCCTTATGGTTTAAGGATCAAAGGAGAAAAATGGACCACCACTAGAATTAATTTAGCTTAGCTTAACAGGAACCCGCATTGCAAAATAACTGGTTTTTTGAGGAACAGGTATAGATCAGCTTTTTCAGATTCTCTTTACAGGAGCCCACATTGCAAAGTAACTGGTTGTTCTGCCCCTGAGCAAGGAATTCAGATACAGGTACTCGAAGGGTGGGGGTCAGACCAGATGTTTCTCACAAGACCCATGTTGCAAGACCCAGGACTGCCCTAAAAACCAGGACGTTCCTAAGCACTGACGTAAATGCTGATCTTTAAACTATAGGCTAAGAAGTGATGTACCCTTAATTGGATTGGTTAGGAAAGTATCTGTTATTACAAATCTATTGGCTATGAAAGGTGCGGCTCAGGCTCATCCCGAATGCCTATCCCTCACACGGGCAGCTAGGGGAAGAGCCGTTGAGGGCCCCCTGGCCGCCCTCAAAGATTTTTACAGGTAGGATGTTTGCCTTGCACGCAGTTGACCCAGGTTCTATTCCCAGCATCCCATTTGGTCCCCTGAGAACCACCAGGAGTAATTCCTGAGTGCAGAGCCAGGAGTAACCCCTGTGCATTGCTGGGTGTGACCCAAAAAGGAAAAAAAAACCAAAAAAATCCTTTTCACAAATAAATGTGAATATTAGGTGACATAAATGCTGCCGTTTTCTCCTATGCTAAGCTCAACATTAGTGATCTATCATGGTGCCAAGAGAGTTAAATCCATGCTAACGCAATGACTTGTGTAGTATCTCACTGAGTCAATAAAAAGAGCAACAGCAACAAAACAAAACAAAAAACCTATGACTAAGCCCTTACACTATTCCATATTCTTAACTGTGTCTTAATAGGTAGCTATAAAAGTATCTCTCTAATGAAGCACCTAAAAATGTACCAAATGGATAGCATTTCATTATTTAAGGGTATTTGAAATTAAGGCAATTTGTAGAGACACTAGGACACGTTGTGAATGAGCTATTGCCATAGTTAGACTTTGATTTTCTCTTTGTAAAATGAAGGGATTTTAATAGGTTACTATCCAAGTTGTTTCTAATTTCAATATCCCATTAAATGAAGAGACAATCTCAGAGCGAATTTTTGGAACAGTGTAGGAGAAGACTTCAATGAAAGAAGCAACTACATCACCACTTCAGCCAGAACCAGTGGTTGTTCACCAATCTTCGCCCAGGGGACAGGCACTCAACAACTCGCTGTTCATATTTGGCCATAAAGTGATCCCAGGTTACAAAGAAGATGACAGCCACGGTTATCACAAAGAGAGGGAGGGCTCTGTGGAAGTTGATCACACAAGCTGCAGTCACCGCAGCGAGGTAACCTGTACAGGAAGCAAACACAGCGAGCATCAGCATTATTTTATGGCAGCTATCATCAATCTGGCCCAGTGAAGCTCATGCTTAATAAGAAACCTCAGATGATATGGTCATTGCCCCACCCCTGATTATAACAACCATCACCAAATTAGAAAACAAATCTTCCTTATGGTCTGGAGGTCAGAGTCTTTTCACCCTTGTCTATGCAGGGCTCGCAAGCTCTGTCTTCAATGTGTATGTAGACAGTCATGCATAATTCTTCTTTTCATCTTGCAAATTTCTTTGTTCTGTTTTTTCCTTACAGATTTATTACCACTTTTATAAAAACTACATAACCTTATTGGAATGACCAGATTATAAGGCCTTTATTCTCTGTATGGGCTTCTGTGCATACATGATATTTATCTTTTCTCCTAGTTAATCTTTTTTGGATTAATTGAACTATTTTTCCAGTAATAGGGACACAGAAAGGTAGAGGACATGTATCCTCATTCCCAACTGGGTTATTACCAAGGTTGCTAATTAGGAGAGATGGCAAAGTGGTAGGGCGTTTGCCTTGCATGCATCCAGCCAACGGAGCCAGGTTCAATTCCTCCGCCCCTCTCAGACAGCCCGGCAAGCTACAGAGAGTATCTTGCCTGCACGGCAAAGCCTGGCAAGCTACCTGTGATGTATTCAATATGCCAAACACTATAACAACAAGTCTCACAATGGAGACATTACTGGGCCCGCTCAAGCAAATCGATGAACAATGGGAGGACAGTTCTACAGTGCTACAGTGCTAATTAGGAAAGAACTATTTTAGTAATGACAACATTTCCTAGAAAAAGTCCAGCTTGCATGGGCTGCTTTAGATGATGATAATTATAATGGTGTGGTATCTCCACATTTGTGTTATGCAGATTAAGTTTCGTAGGAGCACAGCAATGCCATCTGTTAGCTTTCATACTACAATAGATGTATGTTTCACCTTGTAGTACGTAGTCTAAAATGGCAGAGAGAAGACAGCTCTGGCTGTCTGAGCACCTTTTGAACACTAATTCTATGGAAACGACAATCCTGGACCTCAGTGGGGGCGTTTTCACATTTTATAGATAGTATTCTTTGTTATGGGCTGGAGCTATAGCACAGCATTAGGACGTTTGCCTTGTGCACGGCTGGTCAGGCCAAGCTGGGTTCCATTTCTCTGCCCCTCTCGAAGAGCACGGCAAGCTAGAGAGAGTATCTCACCTGCACAGCAAAGCCTGGCAAGTTACCCGCGACATATTCAATATGCCAAACACAGTAACAACAAGTCTCACAATGGAGACATGACTGAGCCTGCTAGAGCAAATCCATGAACAATGGGAGGACAGTGCAACAGTGTGATTCTCTGTTAAAATGAGTCGCAAAGATTCTTGCTTTGGAGGGACTAAAATTAAGAAACACCTCAATTATGTGGAACTAATATCCTGTCCTTGCTTCAGGGAAGAGGAATTGGCTGTGACAGGTTTCACTAGTGTTTTTGCATACAGTACATAAACACAGGAAGGGGTTTCATAAAGCAAAATTTATGCATGTCATTAATTGCTTATGTTGCTCCCTGCAGTGAGGCTTCTGCCTGGTTTTTGTCATTGTTTTTCAGTTATTTGGATTTGCGTTGCCCATTTCTCAGGTCTATGGCACAATAGGAAAAACTACAAGAGTAAGTGACCTTAAAAATGAGCTACTGGGGGGCTGGAGAGATAGCACAGCGGGTAGGGCATTTGCCTTGCAGGCAACTGACCCGGGTTTGATTCCCAGCATCCCATATGGTCCCCTGAGCACCGCCAGGAGTAACTCCTGAGTGCAGAGCCAGGAGTAACCCCTGTGCATCGCCAGGTGTGACCCCAAAAAAGCAAAAAAAAAAACCGAGCTACTGTGTACATGAACCAGCCAGACGGAGAAACAACTTATATAAGTTGACTCAGGGGCTTCTTGCTTTGTCTCTCTGGATAACTCGGTGTAGTACTGAGGAAGGAGATTTATTTTCTTTTCAAAAAAGATAATACTTGAGAGATCCTTAAAGATACACTGGTATCCCATTCTTTTTTTTATTACTTACCTGCTAATAAAACACCCCAGAAGATGTAGCGAAAAATGGTTTTGTGTCTCTTACAAAAATCACAAATTCTGCTACATTTCTTTTCCAGAAACCTATAGCAATACAAAAGCAAAAATGTAGGCAGAGGTGAACATATGTGAAAAGAAAGCAAAAGTTCCAAAAAAGGAGATGATTGTGCTAAGCCCACCAGTTAATACTCGCCTAATAGCAGTTTCCGCCTTCCAGTCTTAGTTAGGGTGGGATCTTATGGTCAGTGCTAATAAAGCAGTGGCTTTCCCCATTTTCCAAAGGCCTTTTTATGTTCCACAGAGGTGGGCTACTTTAGTCTAAAATAATTACCTCTTCCTTTATCTTGGTTTAATTCTGCTTATATAATCCCTCACATTATACAGCTTTTTGGAGATTTCTTCTATTTGCTAGACAGGATGTTGCCAGATTCACCTATCATTTAATAAAGCTTATTAAGTATTCAAAACAATTTGATTTGTTTTGTGTTACTTAACACATGACATTGGCATTCTCAGGCAAGATGAGGCTTCCTAAAACAAACAAAAATGTGTGAAGGTATATCTCTTACAAGATAGAAATGGAAAGTTTGTTTAATTTTACACTAAATTAAGTTATATCTTGACTAACTTGCTGAATACCCTAGAGGGATTATAAAGCTACAGAAAGCTTTTTCTTAGAAAATGAAGAGGAAAAATGAGAAAAAAATAATCAAAAGCTGAAAATACACCACTTGGCAAGAGTGTTTTTCACTTGTCCAAGGAGGTCTACTATCATTAGATTTTTACCCATAATGTGTAATTTTGATTGAAAAAAAATTCAGGGCTAAAGAGATATAAGGCGCTTGCTTTGCATGCAGCCAGACCCCGTTCCATTCCCAGTGCTGCACATGACTCTAAGTACTACCTGGAAGCACCCCTGAACACAGCAAGAAGTAGCACCTAAGCACTGCTGGGTGCTAAAATATGCCAAGTGAAATAAAATAAGCACATATTTTTTTTAAAATCCAATGAACTCTCATCTCTTCTGGTACCACAGTTTTAAGTTTGGGTTCTCTGTCTTCCATCAATTTTATCTTTAAAGGGAGACTGATCAATTTCACTAGGGATGGAAACAGGAAAAAGGACCACATGGCTTTTAGGTCTATTAACCAGTGGGCGGTTATAAAGCTATACAAGAAATATCTTGGATTGTTGGCATGTCTCTTTTTGTTCAGACCTTTGTCATGGGTTGTGGATAGCAATATACAATTAGTGCTCTGGTCACTACTTCAGGGAGAATGATGTCCTCCTGTGAGTGAGATACAGAGGTCACAGGACTGATACTTCTAGGGGTCCCCTGGTTGTCCCTTAAATCAACTCTGAGAACATAAGAGTCACCACTATTAGGCTATTGGAAAGCGTTTCTTTTTTGTTTTTGTCAAAACGAGATTAATATATTTTATTTTTTAAATTTTTTTCCTGATAGTTTATTTATTTATTTATTTATTTATTTATTTATTTATTTATTTTAGGGCTGGAGCGATAGCTCAGCGGGCAGGGCGTTTGCCTTGCTCACAGCCAATATGGCTGACCTGAGTTCAATTCCTTCACCCCTCTCGGAGAGCCTGGCAAGCTACCGAGAGAATCTCGCCCGCACGGCAAAGCCTGGCAAGCTCCCCGTGACGTATTCGATATGCCAAAGTCTCACGATGGAGATGTTACTGGGCCCACTAGAGCAAATCGATGAACAACGGGAGGACAGTGACAGTGACAGTGAAACACAAATGAGGTACAGTTGTAGACTTAAAAACTTTCATGCTTGGGTTTCAGTTATACAATGATGGAGTACCCATCCCTCCACCAGTGCCCATTCTCTACCACCAATGATTCTAGTAGCCCTCCCACCCCCACCCCCCATCCCCACCACCCCACCCCGCCTCTGTGGCAGGGCATTCTCTTTTGCTTACTCTTTCCTTTAGGGTGTTGTAGTTTGCAATAGAGGTTTTAAGTGGCCAATGTGTTCCGTTTATAGTCTACTTTCAGCATGCATCTCGCATTCGGGATGCTTGGAAAGCGTTTCTAAAACCACAGCTTCTCTCCTAGTTAGGTCTGATTTCATTTTCTCTAAGATCTCCAGGGCCTTAGAAGATTCATCCCCTTGAAGACACCCCCGCCCCCCACTTGCTGTCTCTTCTTCCCTTCCTTCTAGCAGTCTCTCTGAGACTCCAAGTCTCAGCTACCCTGAAAGTTTCTTAGCACAGCACAGAGCTCCAGAGCCACTCGGGCCAACCTTTCTTGCATAGCTCCAGAAATTTCCTCTGCATTTAACTCCTGTTGGCTTTGTTGTGTGTGTGTCCTCCCTCCCTCCCCATCATGAATTGGGAGTGCATATTGCCTAACTGGAATGATGTCCTCCCGTTGTTCATCAATTTGCTCGAGTGGGCCCAGTAACATCTCCATGTTTTGAGACTTCTTGTTACTGTGTTTGGCATATTGAATACGTCATGGGTATCTTGCCAGGCTTTGCAGTGCAGGCGAGATACTCTCGGTAACTTGCCAGGCTCTCCAAGAGGGGTGGAGGAATCAAACCTGGTGCAGCCAGGCTGGCTGCGTACAAGGCAAATGCCCTACCACTGTGCATCGCTCATAACTGGAATGATATTTTTTTTCTTTTTGGGTCACATCTGGCAATGCACAGGGGTTACTCCTGGTTCTGCACTCAGAAATTACCCCTGGCAGTGTTCAGGGGACCATATGGGATGCTGGGAATTGAACCCGGGTGGGCCGTGTGCAAGGCAAACGTCCTACACGCTGTGCTATTGCTCCAGTCCCTGGAATGGTCTTTTACAACTGTGTATGGGGGCCTATGAGAGGATTATGTGACTAGACTGTGCATGGGAACTATCCTAAAAACAAAAGGAAGGGGCTGGAGAAAGAGTGTAGTAGTATGGAGCTTGCCTTCCATGTAGCCCTGGTTCAATCCCCAGCATTCCCTATGGTCTCCCGACACTACCAGGAACAATTCTGAGCACAGAGCCAGGAGTTACCCTGAGCATCACTAGGTGTGGGCCCAAACCAAAACCAAACAAAAAATAATAAAAAATTAAAACAAAAGGACAGCTTAGAGTATATCGCACATAAGAAGATAGTCTCATACGCAATAAATGCAGATCACACATAGCTTTATTTCATGAAACTTCTGTTCTTCCACGTGACTGTGTATATGTGTATTGAATAATACCAAGACTTAAGATTATTGCTCTAGAGATATTGAGGAAATAAGAGTGTAGTAAAGGTGATGGTTTTTATGGTTAATTTTAGCTGCTAATGCATTTTTCTCTGCTGTGAATGTAGAGATAAGCAGTTGTAATGGTACAGAGTGACACTGAATAGGGAATATACATCTGCCCTATAGAATGAATTTATCACATTTCAAATACAGGGAATATGTGGAGTCCATTACCAACCTCTGACATGACATAAAATGAAGCAGCTGAAAACAGATGCTTTGCTTTAATTATTTTCATGGGACTACACACAAACTCTTGCTGGTTATTTTTGTCTCTTTAGCATTAGTGAAACCTGAGCACCTCTTTTTTTGGGGTATTTGGGCCACACTTGGAGGTGCTAAGGGACTGTTTCTGGTGATGTGCTCAGGAGTGATTCCTGGCAGTACTCAGAAGACCATGTAGGAAGCCAGGGATAGAACTCGGGTTGGCCACATGCAAGGCAAGCACTTTATCTCCTGTACTGTTTCTCTGCAATAGCCTGAATGACTCCGACTACCCCAAAGCATCTCTCAGTCCCCAGGAGTAGAGATTCAGAACTAAAATAAGCTCAATGTCGAGGTAAATATTCAAGGAAAATATGTTTTTTTTGGTGTATATGTGACAGGAGCTTTCAATCCTAATTCAGACCAACTTCAAATATATCTTATGATACATAAAAACAATGTTTCTGAGAAATATAGGGATTTAAATACAATTTAGTAGGAATTTAGAAAATAGACAAATGCTTAATTTTTATGATAGAAGCAGACAATCTTACAAAAGGAATTAGAAGCTGAAACTTTAAGCGAGTTTTATTCTTCTGACTAATCTTGGGTAACTCATTTCTTTGAGTTTTGTGTTTTTCTTACTCAAAAATTAAAATTGCCATTTCTACTTCATGGGGTGATAAGCACTTGGAATACATTCAGGATAATACAAGGCAAGAACAAATTTGTTGTGATTTTAATTGGATTGGACTTGGGGAAATCAGTTGATTATTGATTGTTGTTAAGATGATGAATTAATGACTTTGCACAGACTGGAGCAATTAGTTAATAATTGATTTTTAATTAAAAGTCTGTCCTGGATATTGGATTACCAGGAAACAAGCAGTTTGAATTTATCCCATTAATTTTCTTCGAGCTCCATTAACTTTTTAAAAAATGGTATTGGCTGGATTGTGAGGGAGAGAAATTGGTGATGGGAAACTTAAAAAAATTTTTTAAGTCATAATAAATGTTTAAAATTAATAATCATAAAGGTAATAATAAATGTTTAAAATTAGTAATCTCTCATACAAGGACTTAATGTCTCCATGATGAGATACAACAATTTATTGGCTTGCAGTAGGAAACCTGCATCAAGTGCTGTGGGAGAAGGTAGTTGGGATAGAGAAAGGATCACTACAGTGATAGAAATGATCACTTTGGATAAGAACTGCATGCTGAAAGTAGGTAAAGGAAAAACCATGATATCCTCTCAGTACCTGTATTGCAAACCATAATGCCTAAAAGGAAAGCGAGAGAGAAGGAAGAAAAGTGTCTGTCATAGAGGCAAGCTGGGGGAGGAGGTGGGCTGTCAGGAGGGAAACTGAGGACATTGATGATGGGAAAGTACACTGGTGGAGAGGTGCTGGAACCTTGTATGATTGAAACCCAATCATAGTCAGCTTTGTAATGGTATCTCATGGTGATTCAATAAAAGGAATTTAATGAAAAAATAGATAAAGAGGAGTGGAGGGATAGTACAGTGGGTAGGATACTTGCACACGGCTAACCCAATTACAATCCCTAGAATCCCGTGTGGTCTCCTAAGCCCTACCCGGAGTTATTTCTGAAGGCAGAGCAAGGAGTAAGCCCTGATCATGGCCAGGTTTGCCCCAAAACAAAAATAAAACAAAATAAAACTAGATAAAGATAAAACAAAGTGGCAAAACCAAGTAAGAATAGTTGTGGTTATTTTTCTGGGTTAAAATCATACCCTTCTGGAAAGAAAGATGGCGGCCGCACGGGAGCCTTGTGGAAAGCGGGTTTGAGCCGGGCTCGGGGGAGCGGCGGGGACCTCATGGGAAGGGGGGCTTTGTGGGCCGTCCCCCACGCCCCACCGAGGTCGCCAGCTGCCCCCCACGAGCGGCTCTCCGGCACGGCCACGACTCCAGGGCACAGAAATCAATCTCTTAACTAGCTAACTTTTAATAGAAATTCTTCCAGGGTCAATAAGTAAAATAGCAGAAATTCAAAACCGCGCGGCCGCAATTGCGGCCGCGCGACATCATTTTATTCTTAAACCAAGTTGTAGAAAGCAAATCATTTCACAACGCTGTTTCAGCATATCTGATTGGGGGGGGTGGGTCGTAAACTCTAAACAATAATTGTGCATCTTCTATCGAAATAATCTATCTAGTCAAAGTAGATAGAGTATTAACTAGAACTCATCTGCCTCACAAGAATTGGGAGGGGTGGGAGGTGGGGGTCTATTGGGGTTCGGGGTTAAAAATGAGTATTGGTAAAGGGAAATGTGTTCGGTATCTACATGACTGAGACCTAAACCCGAAAGCTCTGTAACTTTTCCCACAGTGATTCAATAAATAAATAAATTATAAAAAAAAATCATACCCTTCTTCATGTATCTCTTGATCATCCTCCAAGTTATCTTCAATTGTTACCTGTTCTTCACCCTGAAAATTATACATTGGTGAAATAATTAGAATTCTTCACAGACTAAACCCTAATATCTTTTGATAAGAATTTTGGCAAAGAACTCTCAAAGTATCTGTTCAAGTTGTTATACAAGAAGAGGGCTTCAAGTGATTTTTGCATAAACATTTTAATTTGTTATTACCAAAAAATCCAGGGTTTTCCATCCCCCTGCCTCTGTGGTAGACTATCCCCCCCATACTCTCTCTTTCCTTTTGGGCATTATGGATCGCAGTACAGATACTGAGAGGCTATCATGTTTCAGCACACATCTCCCATCCCTCCAAACTTCATTGATTTAGTGATCCCTTCTCTATTCCAGCTGCCTTCTCCCCTAGCTCATGAGGCAGGCTTCCAACCATGAAGCAATATTCCTGGCCATGTCTCTACTGTCCTTGGGTTTCAGTCTCATATTGTTATTTTATATTCCACAAATGAGTGCCGTCATTCTATGTCTGTCCCTCTCTTTCTGACTCATTTTACTTAACATGATACTCTAAGTAACCTAAGTAACCATCTACTTATAAGCAAATTACATGATTTCATTTTTCCTAACAGCTGCATAGTATTCCACTGTGCAGATGTACCAAAGTTTCTTTAACCAGTTGTCTGTTCTCAGCACTCAAGTTGTTTCCAGATTCTGGCTATTTTGAACAGTGCTGCAATGAATCTCTAGGTACAGATGTCATTTCTACTGTGCTCTTTTGCACCCTGGGGATATATTCCCAAATGTAGGGTCATTTGGAAGCTCAATTTCTAGTCTTTGAAGAAATGCCCATATTGTTTTCCAAAATGGGTGGACCAGTTGGCATTCCCACCAACATTGAGAGTCCTTTTCTCCCCACATCTGCACCAGCACTGGCTGTTCTTTTTCTTTTTGATATGTGGTATAAGATGATATCTTATTGTTGTTTTGATTTGCATCTCCCTGATGATTAGCGATGTAGACATTTTTTCATGTGTCTTTTGGCCATTTGTATTTCTTTTTTTTTGCTTTTTTGGGTCACACCCAGCGATGCTCAGGGGTTACTCCTGGCTCATGCACTCAGGAATCACTCCTTGCGGTGCTCGGGGGACCATATGGGATGCTGGGAATCGAACCTGTATCGGCCATGTTGGCTGCGTGCAAGGCAAACGCCCTACCCACTGTGCTATTGCTCCAGCCCCTGTATTTCTTTTTTGAGGAAGCTTCTGTTCATTTCTTCTCCACATTTATTGATGTGGGATTGGCGGTTTTATTCTTTTTTTTTTTATAAAGTAGTTCACAGTATTTTTTCTTTTTTGCTTTTTGGGTCACACCCAGCGATGCACAGGGGTTACTCCTGGCTCTGCACTCAGGAATTACTCCTGGCGGTGCTCAGGGGACCATATGGGATGCTGGGAGTCAACCCAGGTTGGCCACGTGCAAGCCAAACGCCCTATCTGCTGTGCTATCTCTCCAGCCCCTGGAGGTTTTATTCTTGTACAATTCTACCAATGTCTTGTATATCCTGGATATTAACACCTTATCAGATGAGAATTGGGTAAATATTATTTCACATTCCACGAGCTTTCTCTGTATTTTGGTCACTGTTTCCTTTAAAGTGCAGAAACTTCTTAGTTTGACTACAAATGTAGTCCCATTTGTTTATATTTGTTTCCACTTGCTTGGTCAGTGTTGTTTCATCCTTAAAGATGCTTTTAGAGTCAATGTCATGGAGGGTTTTGCTTACATTTTCCTCCATGTACCTTATGGATTCAGGTCTGATATTGAGGTCTTTAATCCACTTCGATCTGACTTTTGGGCATTTGAAATTTTGAGGCACAATTGTGGTAAGACTTTTTTTCCCCATTTATTCTATTTTGTTATTTGCATATACAAAAGTCTTAGACTTTTGTGCAATGATTTTGTAGCTTACACATTCTTGTATAAGTTTGTTTCTAGGAGGATTTTTATTTGCTTGTTTTGTAGAGTATTTAGGGTTTTCTCAGTATAGTATCATCTCATCTGTAAATAGTGACAGTGTCTTTTTTTTCCAGTATGGATGTCCTTAAATATCTCCTTCTTGACTATGGACTGGACTTATAATACTATATTGAATAATAGGAATGAGAATAGGCTAACTTGTCTTGTGCCTGATCCTTGTGGGAAGGAGTTTAGTTTTTCTCAGGTGAGTAATATGTTAGCTGTGGGTTCATGGTAAATGGCTATAACTGAATTGATTAAAGTTCCTTTCTAGTCCATTTTATTGAGGGTTTAATCATGAATGGGTGCATGATCTTTTAAAATGTCTTTTTTGCTTCTATTGATATATTAATATACTGATGTATGATTTTTAGAAGCTCCCACATCTTAAAAAAATGACGTCCAGAATTATAAAAGTCTGAGAATATTTGCTCACCACTCTTTCAAGATATACAAAGGACTTGTAAATGTTAACAATGTTTAAATTTTTTTCTACTGTATTCATTTTTTTGTTTTGGGGCCACACCTGGTGGTGCTTGGAGTGTAATCCTGACTGCACTCAGGAATTACTCCTGGCGAGTTTGAGAGATCATATGGTATGTTAGGTATAGAACCCAGGTCAGCTGCATGTAAGTTAAGTACTTTACCCACTGAACTATCTTTCCAGCCCCAGCACTTATAAATATTAACAAGAGAAAAACCAATCAACTCCATCAAAATATGGGGACAAGAGAGGAACAGAGATTTCCTCAAAGAAAATATACAGGTGGCCAAATACACATATAAAAAATGCTCTGCATCACTTATCACCAAGGAAAAGAAAATTGAAACAACTGTGAGATATCACCTCATACTATAGAGACAAGCACACATCAAAAAGGACAAAAACAATGGGCACTGGTGGAGGGATGGGTATCTGATCATTGTATAATCAAACCCAAGCACAAAAAATTGTAAATCTACAACTGTACCTCATGGTGTTTCACTAATAAAAAAAAAAAGTTCAAAAAAAAAAAGGACAAAAACGGTTATTATTGTGTGTATGCTGGGACAAAGAAATCCTCATCCACTGGGTATGAATGCCAACTGGTTAAACCTTCTTGGAAAACAATAGAGACACTCCTAAAAAAATAGGAATTAGGCTTCCATATGATCCAGCAATTCTACTTCTTTGTACTGACTTCAAGGATCTAAAAACTAGCCAGAAAAGCTGTCTGCACTCCTATGTTTATTGCAGCACTATTAACAATAGCCAAAATCTGGAACAACCCAAGTGTCCAAGAACAGAGGCGTGAGTAAAGAAACTATGGTACACATATATGTAATGAAATACTAACCAACTATAATAAAAGCCTACACTATGTAATTTACTATTACATGGATGAAACTGGGGGGATCATGCTGAGTGATGCCAGCCAGGAGAGAGACAAATGATCTATGGAATGATCTATGTCATATGTGAGATATAAAGGATCACCGTAGGGAGATGGCTCTAGATCAAAAGCAACAGAATCTCACATGGAGTGATAATACAGTGGGTAAATGCCTTGCTCGTAGCCTACCTGTGTTTGATCCCTGGCATCCCATATAGTCTCCTGAGCCTTCCAGGAGTGATCCCTGTGTGCAGAGTCAAGAAGAGGCATGGAGCACTGCTGGCTATGGCCTCCAAACCAAAAATACAAACAACCTCCTCCCCCAAAGCAACAGAATCTACGAGTCTATAGAACTGAGCCTACCATGGCAGTGAGGTGTGGGGGGTAAGGGAGAGAGCAGGAAAGAGAAGAAATGGGGACCTGAGACAATGCAGAGAGAGGCACTGGTGGAGGGTGTGATATCAAAATACTTCATTCATGAAATCCTGTCATTGGCAACCTTTTAAATGACAACTAGTAGAATAAAAAAGCAAAAAGAAAATGCACCCATAGAAGGTTGCAAGAGGCACCGATTTTAGGAACTGATTTTCTTCTGAAATTACAGATAATTTTCTTGTCTCCAGTTTTTGCTGCAATAATTTCCCAAATTTTCCTCTTCAAAGGAGTTATTCTTTTTTTTTTTTTATCATGGGTAAGCTCGCCCTAATAAATGGCTCAACAGTACGCCTCTAGAATTACTCCTTAAAGGATAATCTATGTAATTTGCTCACTTTGTAGCAGAAGGCTTTCTTCGAATGATGACCTACTCAGAATACTCAGTATAAAAAAAAATAAAGGTGGCATTGAGGCAGAATGTCTCAGCTTGCTGCAAACACCTCGATGCCATTGAAGAATGCTCAGGCACAAAGGACACAGCCTTAGAATCCTTAGAGCTGTCTCCTGTCTGTCTTATAAAGGCTTGCTTTTGTCCGTGGGCTTTTTCTGCCTTAGTATAGAACTTGTAAAATATTATAGTGAAGTGCCAGGGAAAGCCTGGGTCCCTTCTCTGTTAGGGAGCCTGAGACACGTGTATAAACAGAAACTCTCTGCTTGGCAGTGTGTATTTCTGCCCTTTCTGCCCTTCACATTCTAAGGAGTGCTTAATTCATCCTTGAACATCCCGCCGAGCTGCTATACTCTCTGTCCTGCTCTCAGGGCACTGGGGCACACTTGGGGGCAGATTCCCACAACACTCCAGCCATACCTGATTGGTGTTTCCCGGCGCTCTGCTTTGCACAGCTCTGCCCCTTAGTGAGCTGTGTCTTGATGTATTCTCATTTTCACGAAAGTCTTCTTCAGTCTAAGAAAAAAAATACAAATTACAAAAATAAAATTTCAGAACAAAAAAATCAATTGCTTTTTCAGTGAATGATTCTATCCAGTGAAAGTATAGCAAAAGTCAGCCAGATGATGAGTGGCTGAATCTTGGGTTCTTAAAGAAACACGATTTTTGTTTTGTTGTTATGGAAAAGCTTAGTGTTATAGAAAAGCTTACTTGATGAAGAGCCAGGCCAGTTGCTCTTGCTGGGGTCATATAACATTCCAAGTGGGCCCGAAACTAGGCCAGAGTTTCCAGACTTCTCGCCATCATATCGTTCAGTTTTTTAACTTAAAAAAATAGAACAGTATGAACTACATGACAGATCTGGTTATTTCATTCTTTGATATTATATTTATGAGACGTTAGAATGTGTTTTGTTTTGCTGAAAGCAGTAGCTGGCGGTTAAGAGCTCACACACGACCTTCTCGGGTGAGGCTGTCAGACTTTATTCTCAGAAGTAGAGTGCACTTTGCTCTGGGAGGGGTGTATTTTGACTCCTAAGTTGTAATTTCCAGATGGGACAACCACTTGGTTGATGTCTCTTTCTCTCACCTCATTCCAATTTGCCCATTAAATGAGGCAGTTTATTGCAAGAAAGGCAATGGATAAAGTAAGTAGTGTCAGAATGCACCCCTCCCTCCCCTCACCCGTTAATCCTATTAGGGGTGGTCTCTGGAAAAGAACAAGTGCATCATTTTTTAAAAATCGAATCACCCTCAGATATACAGCTACAAAGTTGCTCATGATTGAGTTTTAGCAATACACTGCACTAACAGCTATGTCTTCACCCAAGCACATTTCTCTCAGCCAGTGGCCCCAATTTCCCTCCTGCCTGCTTGCTCCCATTCAGCCTGCCTCTATGGCAGACACTTTTCTCTCTCTCTCTCTCTCTCTCTCTCTCTCTCTCTCTCTCTCTCTCAATCTCTCTCTCTCTCTCTCTCTCTCTCTCATTTTCCTTTAGGCCAAGTGTATCGCTTTATTTTTAACATTAGATCTAGGAAAAATTCCAATTGCAATTTGTACTTCATTTTTTATTGATTGAAATACACATGTATACACAAACATGATTAGAACTTAATTTCTAGAACACATGTTGTATGCATAAAAGTTATTATTGCTGCACTTTTTTTCTATTGCAGTTGTTTTTATTTTACTTTACCAGAATTTCTTATATCTTACTAGAACAGAAGATGTTTATGATTATTTGTTGAATTAATGCCACAGTAAGTGATTAATATAACAAATATAACAATGTGGTACCACTGATTACTCTGTATAAAATACAGAATCTATTCTTGGCATATATCCCCAAAACACAAAACGTTGATTTGAAAGGATATATGTACACCTATGTTCATTGTAGACCAAAATATGGAAACAATCCAAATGTCGAACTACAGTTAAATGAATCAAGAAGTTGTGATTTATATGCACTTTGGAATACTATGCAGTTCCAAGAAAGAACAATATTATGTAATTTATGGAAACATGGATGGAACTAGGGGATATTATGCTGAGTTTAGTCAGTCAGAAGGAAAAGAACAGATACAAAATAAATTTCTATCACATGTGGAACTTAGAAATACATTGCCAGTTAGCAACAAAGGGCTAAATGTATCATAATGGGAGAAGTTACCACATAACTGAGTTTGGGCGGGCAGCCTTGAGAGGGGTCTTTGGGGGAGGGAGATGGGAACACTGGTGATGGGTGTGGTATGATTATGAGAAACCAATATCAGCAGATTATGAGAAACCAAAATCAACAAATAGGGCTGGAGCGATAGCACAGCGGGTAGGGCATTTGCCTTGCACGTGGCCAACATGGTCGACCCGAGTTCGATTCCTCTGCCCCTCTCGGAGAGCCCGGCAAGCTACCGAGAGTATCTCGCCCGCACAGCAAAGCCTGGCAAGCTCCCTGTGCCATACTCAATATGCCAAACACAGTAACAAGAAGTCTCACAATTTGTTGTGAGATGTTACTGGTGCCTGCTTGAGCAAATCGATGAACAATGGGAGGACAGTGCTACAGTGCTACAATATCAGCAGTACTGTAAATCACAGAATCTTACAAAAAAGTGTGTGTGTATGAATCTATGTTCTATGGAGAGATGACAAAGAATTGTTAATTGCTGGAGTTGGCTAATGGTACATACAGATATGTTTTTTTTTCTTTCTTTCACGGATACTGAGATTTTCCTTAATAATACAGTTAAAAATAAAACTCAAATCCAGAGAGATCACGTAGAAGATAAGGCAGTTGTCTTGCACGTAACCAACCTTGGTTTGAATCCCTGGCACCACATATGGTCCCCTAAGTACTGCCAGGGATCATTTCTTACTGAAGAGCTAGGAATAACTCTTGAGCACTGCTTGGTGTGAACTCTCCAAACAAAGACAAAAACAAGGAAAAACCAAAATTAAAAAAAAAGAACAGCATGAATTAGTAAAAATGTCACATCTTTTTTTCCCTCAACCCACTCCTCTTTACATCATGGTTATGGAATACCTTCCAGAACCCTCTGGAATTCTCTGGTTTCTTGCAGTACTTCTTGAGATTGTGTATTACTGCCACTTAGTGGCCAAATAAAAAATTACTTGTGTAAGCAAGGATGGAGTTGCGGGAAGGGGGAGACAGAGACAGAGACAGAGACAGAGAGAGAAAAAGAGAGAGGCAGAGACAGAGATATTGGGTGTGAATAGCATCTATGGATATATGTTATATGTGTTGCACTAAGTAGTGAGATCATTTTGTACCTAGTGGAGTATATGTTTTACCTTTAAACATTTTAGGAAGGGCAATCTTTCTCTTGAGGATTTCCAACAAAATTAACGGATTCATGGGGCATTATGGTGTCAATTGAAATGCTTAGAATTAATTTTTCCTTCTTTTCATTGTGGGGTGTTAATTCATGATATTTGAGCCCAATGTTTTTTCTATCTATGTAGATATTCAAATGATTATATGCCTTAGTACACGGAATTCTTTTGACTTTGTGCTTCTAAGCAATTCACAGCACATTATGTTTTAACATTGTTTTATTGAATCACTGTGACATAGACCCCTACAAAGTTCGTGATTGTATTTCAGTCATATAGTATTCCAACACTCATCCCTCTACCAGTGTACATTTCCCAGCACCAGTGTCCTCAAGTTACCTCCCATCACTCCCCCAACCCCCACTCCCTGCGTGCCTCTATGGCACACATTTTTTCTCCTCCTCCTCCTCCTCCTCCTCCTCCTCCTCCTCCTCCTCCTCCTCCTCCTCTTCCTCCTCTTCTTTCTCCTCCTCCTCTTCCTTCTTCTTCTCCTCCTGCTCCTCCTCATTCTCCTTCTTTTTTCCTATTCCTCCACCACCTCCTCCTCCTCCTCCTCCTCCTCCTCCTCCTCCTCCTCCTCCTCCTCCTCCTCCTCCTCCTCCTCCTCTTCTTCTTCTTCTTCTTCTTCTTCTTCTTCTTCTTCTTCTTCTTCTTCTTCTTCTTCTTCCTCTTCTTCTTCCTCCTCCTCCTCCTCCTCCTCCTCCTCCTCCTCCTCCTCCTCCTCCTCCTCTTCTTCTTCTTCTTCTTCTTCTTCTTCTTCTTCTTCTTCTTCTTCTTCTTCTTCTCCTCCTTCTCATTTCTCCTCCTCTTCTTCCTCCTCCTCCTTGTCTTCCTCATTCTCCTTCTCCTTTCTCTGTCTCTCTCTCCTTTTGGGCATTGTGGTTTGCAATATTGATACTGAAAGGTTATCCAGAATATCCCTTTACCTACTTTTAACCCTTAGATATTGTCCAGCATGATCATTCCCTGCTATTATTGTCATACAGTCTCTTTCCTACCTTACCTACCCTCAGCCCCCCACACACTATGTTAGTTCCAAACATTAATCAGTCCTCCTAACCCCTGCTTCACAGCACATTTTAATTTCTGTCGTTATCATCAATTGCTGGGTGCCCAAAGGGTGAATATCCAGAATTGAGCCCCTTTAAAGGGTAGATCCTTGAGCCAGAAATTGTACCTGGATATTTTTCTGATATGTCTCACTGATCTTTTACTTTCCATTCTGGTTGAGGGAGCATAAATTTACACTGAATATTATACAAAGTTCAATAGAGTATTTGCAAGTCTTTTGATTAATGTATTCCTTTTATCTCACTTCTAAACCATATCATAACTTCTAGAACACAGCCCCCCATATTTTTGTTGTAAGCCCTTCTCTAGGATCTTAGCTGAACACACCGAGGCTCCCTTTTTTAGCTTCATTTTATAACAAGATTCAGGCTAAGGGAACTTGAGCAGCAGTGGAGCCCTGAAGGGGAGGGGCAGCTCAGATGTTTCTTAAGAGACAGTAGTGGGGGCCAGAGCCATAGTATAGCAGTTAAGGAGCTTGTCTTGCAAGCAGCCTATGGGTTCAATCTTCAGCACCTCATCTGGTCCCCTGAGCACCGCCAAGAATAACTTCCTGAGAGAAGAGCCAGGAAAACCCTGTGAGCATCGCTGGATTTGGCCCCAAAACAAAAACAAAAAAGAGGCAGTAGACAGGTGATCTTGTTTTTCTTGCCCTTTCTCCATGCTTGCTATGTGCACAAATCCAGGAAGCAATGGACACCAGGGCCCATCTTTTTTTTTTCTTTTTGGTCACACCTGACGATGCACAGGAGTTACTCCTGGTTCATGCATTCAGGAGTTACTCCTGGTGGTGCTCGGGGGACCATATGGGATGCTGGGAATTGAACCTAGGTCAGCTGAGTGCAAGGCAAACGCCCTACCCGCTGCGCTATTGCTCCAGCCCCGTCCAGGGCCCATCTTAATGCCATCCTAGTGCTGCCATAGTGAGTGGGTGTGAACTTGGTTCCTGAGATGCTTGACAAGAGCTCTTCTGAAGCTCTCTGTAACAAGACAGCTCTTTCAACTCTCACCTGTAGCAAACAAACTTCCGTGCTATTTTTTGGTGTTGCTTTTATTTGTACCAGGACTGATATCATATCTGCTGGATACAGGGC